ACATATGATCTCAATCCCCTAGCTAATTCTTGGACTTAGGTACATTTCAGCTTCATATACAATTCTTGGCAAAAATAAAAATAATAATTTATTTTATATTCATTTTAAATTTTCCGTTTAGTATACATATTAACATTTAAAAACTATAATTTAAATATTTAAACGCACTGAAAATATATTTAATTGAATTTCACCCCCATTTTTTGTTCATTTAATAAAGTCGTGTTATTTAGAACGGAAAGAGTTGAGAACGCTCTGTAGGCTAGGTTAGGAGAGGAGATGTCGGCCGTTTTGTCCAAGGGCAGTTGCTTTACTGGTCGTAGACCCTAAACAAGTTGTCCTCCAAGCCGATTTGAGCTTGAATTCAAACCCGATCCGGCCAACGGAATCGATCCCGGAAATCGTTTAACATTTTCAACAGTTCCCTAAAAACGAGAAGTTCGGTAAATCCTTTATGTTTTTTTAATAAGTTTTTTAAGTTCCGGTACGTCGCGATAAGGTCGTATTACAGATGAAAATCTAAATCCATTGTCCAAATAATATTAATCTTAACGTTCACTTGCCATGAGGAAAGAAAAATTCCCCGTGACAAAAACAATTGATTAAATGAAATAAGTTTATAAAAATTATGGAAAACATGAACAGTATTCGAGCTGAGTGTCAAGGGATCCAGACATGGCTTAAGACCTGAGGGGAAAGAGAAAGATTTATAGCAAAATGTTGTATAAGAGAGAAGAGAAAAAAAGGATAAATGTAGTGACTCTTTATAATTTTTACAAGTAAATCCTACAAAATAATATCAAACACTGTTAGAATAAATTAATGAAAGAGTTAGGGATTATGTTGCAAGTATAACAATTACAATAAGAGGAAATATGTCTAACATAGAAATGTACCATCGTTGTCTTGTACAGTAAGATTGATTTAGATAGTTGTGGGACCGTAGCCAAATAGAAACAATACAACATAAAGGCTAGTATTACGACGAAAACTAAATCAATGAAAGTAGATTTATAAATAGAATCTATTCGAAAATATGGTGGAAGGTGGGTAGGGTGACAGAGAACCGGAACAAAAGGAAAGAGAGAAAAGAGATATTAAGATATTATAAGAGAGAGAGAGAGAAAAAAGAGAAAGGGAGAGGAGATAGAAAGAAATAGCGACACGAGAGAGAAGCGGAAGAGAGTGAGAGAGAGGAGGGAAAGAAGAGCAAGAGAGAGAGAGAAAAATAGAGAGAGAGGGAGAGATAGAGAGAGAGAGAGAGGAGATAGAAAGAAATAGAGACACAGAGAGAAAAGGGGAAAAGAGAGAGAATGGAGGAGAGAGGAGAACGACAGAAAGAGAGAGAGGGAGAAGAAAGGAGATAGAAAGAAATAAAGACACAGAGAGAGAAGGGGAAGAGAGAAGAGAGAGAGAGAGAGAAAGAGGAGAAGGGCAAGCGAGAGAGAAAGAGAGAGTGAGAGAGGAGATAGAAAGAAATAGAGACACAGAGAGAGAAGGGGAAGAGAAAGATTGAGTGAGTAAGTTAGTGAGAGAGAAAGAGGAGAAAGAGAAAGAGAGAGTGAGAGAGGAGATAGAATGAAATAGAGAGACAGAGAAAGAAGGGGAAGAGAAAGATTGAGTGAGTAAGTTAGTGAGAGAGAAATAGGAGAAAGAGAAAGAGAGAGAGAGAGAGGAGATAGAAAGAAAGAGAGACACAGAGAGAGAAGAGGAAGAGAAAGATTGAGTAAGTTAGTGAGAGAGAAAGTGGAGAAAGAGAAAGAGAGAAGAGAGAGAGAAAGAAATAGAAAAATTGATTGATAATACTCATAAATAAAATAGATCATAAAAAAATCACTATAAAAAAACTTTAACGAACTAAACTAAATAATTTCACTTCCCGGAAGCAGTGTTGCTATCAGTGTTACCCAAACAGTGGATGAAGGGAAAAACAATGTTACCTTTTTTACACATATTTATCTGGGAGAGAAAGAAATCTAGACAGAACTTATTAGTAAGGATTAGAATTATCAAATTGCTTTGAACCGATATCCGGATTTCGAGTAATCCATAAAGACGAAAGAGTCATTATCAGCGAACAAACAGCCGAGTTTCAGCCGGCTTTATTTAACTTTTTGCGGCCAGGGAAGCAGCAACTGGCGATCGGATCTTTTTATTAAATACCAAATTTTCTCTTTAATAAAAAGGTTAATATTATGACAGCTTCAGTCGGTCTGAAGGGCTACAGTTCTTGAAGCCTGGACAGCCTTGCGGGTTTAGGCTATTCTGGGCTCATTTTGCAAAGTTTTTAAACCTACAATGGAATTACGTATTTAGAATAAAATGCTGTACATGCCTTAAACGGCAAAAGGGAGTATGTTCCCAGATATGTACATCATTCTGACCTTTAGTACGACAAAATTGTAGAAGATTGTCGGTTTAAAATGAAATTGAGATTCTGTCCTCGCCCTTTAATGCAATTATGTATATTGTAGTTGATTTTAGGGTAAATTATTTTGGCCATAGCCCTTTCCTCCGTCTTCGGTTTATTTTCTTTCTCACGTTGTATTTATCTCATCCTTCTTCTGGCAGTACAGACAAGTTATCATAGTTTTAATTAAACTTTAAATTTATATGTTTATAATGAGATTACATTCGATCCTTTCGCACTAAGTAAGCACTAAGGACCAGACTTACATCAATGTAACCCATTACATGAGAGAAAAAAAACAGTTTTAATTATTTTACAAGATTTTGTTTAAGAGGAAATCATTGTACAAAGAGTTAACGTAAAGATAATCGGATATAAATCATACAAAAAAAAAGGTTTTTTAAGATGCTGTTTTATAGTACAAAACCTTTAACATACTAAACTGAACGACTTAAGCGAGATTCGGGAAATGACAGTTCCCGACAGTGTTACCCATACGTAGAAAGGAGGGAAAATCAATGTTAACTTGTTGTGGAATAAACATATACATATAACAAGTATGGTACATATACTTTAAATGCAATTGATTATTTGGAGGTCGTGAGATGCGGTCTGGTGTGTCGTAGGTTTTTAGAAAAACATTTTCTTTATCGTGCCAACGTTTCGATCTTTATTGAGATCATCTTCAGGGCTCAATAAAGGTTAAAACGTTAGCACGATAAAGAAAATGTTTTTCTAAAAACCTACGTCACACCAGATCGCATCTCACGACCTCCAAATAATCATTAATTAACGGTCACTAAACACCACACATTTAATTACAATCTAGAAATATATCGAATTATAAAGGGGGGACCAATATAACCTCTGAAAAGTTTGAAAATCTACCTGTGTTTTGAATTAGTAAAAGTCCAAACAAAACTCCCTTTCTAGAATCAGTGTTGCCCCCAGTATTGCCAAAAACATTTGATAGAGGGAACAACCAATGTTAGCTTGTGAACAAACAAATACAAATGTCTATTTATTCACATAACCTAGAAATATATCGAATTATGTAAGTAACCGAAAAATTATGAACTATTTGAAAATCTTAAATGTAGGGAAGGAGTTAAACTAAACATTTCACTTTCTAGAATTAGTGTACCCCCCCAGTGTGGCCCAAACATGGGTTGGGGGAAAATCTATGCTAGCTTATTGTGTAATAAATGTACACATACAATAAGTATGGTACATACAGTGTTATTCATTAAATTTTATACTCTTTACATAATATATCATAAATTCAGAATTTTCCATTTCTTACGTATATATACAGGTATATATTATTTGGCGAATTTTTACTTGGAGAGTTTTAAATTTTTAAAATTGGTATTAAGATCTGGGAAAACGGTTGGTTGTCATTTAATTATGATTTTATAACGCTAATTAAGGGTTGGACGGAGTGGTCAGAGGAGTCAATCATATTCCAATTGATCACATCATAAGTGGGAAGACGATTAAAACAAAAGTTAAGAAGATTGCAGCAAAAATGGATTTCAATAACAGTCCATGTGGATTTTGAGAAATGTTGTTGGAAAGAGGGTCAATTGAAAAAACAACTAGTTAATTAAGACGGACGCCAATTCCCCGGCGTCTTGATGAGAATTTGCGCCGGGTTTCGCTGTGTTTTTGTATTGACGGAGTGTTGGTCGCGTGAAAAGGTGTTAATTGTTTTGGTCTGTTGGTCAGAAAAGAGCGGTTACGTAATAAAGAAACGGACGAGTCCGCACGCGTCTTGAGATAATGTTGTTAAACCTAGGTCATGGTACCATCATGTCAATAGGCCTCAGCCCGGACCATTTCCTCCACCATAATCCCGTCCCCACCAGGTCCCAGGCCACGTCCGTACCAACTATTTTTATTCCACTCCTACCACACTAGATTCCTTTTTATTTTCCCTCCGTTTGACCCGAAGAAGATTCTTCTATTTTCATCAGCTGTCCGCCTCCCTACTCGGTGGAACACGATTTTTTCCCCCATGCTCTTTTTCTCGCTATCTTCTATTTCTCTCCGACCGTTAGTGGAGTAAATTTTTTTGCCCCTTTTTCTCTATTTCCCTTTCTCCGGTTTTTTATTTCCCTTTTGTCTTTTTTTTTTCTTCCTTGCCCCATTCCATTTAAATGACGGTGACCATTGACTGAAAGGAAAAAACGCTACAGGTTCTTCAAACGTTTAAACTGCTCTGTCTCCGTCTTTTTTGACAATTTATCTTTATTTTATTTTGGTTCGAAATGGTATCATAAGCTCACAAGGATCCATATATTCTCACAATACTCTAAACATTATATTACAGATCTATGGATGTACCTATTAATAAATATATGGTTTTGTGATAAGTTGATAACTTCTTTTACAATTATCTATTATTAACATAGTTAAATGTTGTTATCCTAACAATTTTAAGCTACGAGATCCAGGATTTTAATTAAACCGTTAAAATTTACAAATAGGGTCATACAAAGAATAGCTTGAAGCTTAAAAGATTAAAAACAAAACCTTATAATACGGGTGAGTTAAAAAAATAATAATGTAATTTTTGTGGTCTTTACAGATTGTAATGCACAAAGATGGCCATCAATTTCTCAGCCTCCTTTGCCGCGTGTCTAGCAGCGGGCTTAAAAGTTCCTCGGCAGTTCATGTACTGCATAGCACAAGGTAAGGGTTAGATATAAGCTCTCTCCGGTTTTATGACCGTTTTTTTTCCGCAGATGCAGGAGCGCCGTACGTGGTGTACAAGGACGGGCATGGAGGCGGGAACGGGACGGTACCGGTGAGCCTGGCCGGAGGAGGCGTTGGTGGCGGAGGAGGAGGCGGAGGGGGAGCCAGCGCTAATCCCCCGGCTCAGAACGGCAACCCGACCCCGGCCCCGCAGAACGGGAACGGTGGCCCAGAATGGAACGAACCCTTTCCTTCCAGCCCGCAGGAGTCGGCCACCCCTATTCAGCAGCCGAGCCCTTCACCGCCCTACCCGCAGCAGCAACATACGCCGGCCAACAGTCTACCAGGTAATTCCAGACGGCCCAACTATGACATCTCGGGCTGACTGTCCTTCCTTAGTTTCAGTGGAAGAAGAAGCCACTAATGGAGGGGACCACGAGAACAACACCCAGGAGGACATGCCGTGCGATATGGGGCCGGGTTCCGGTGGAGGAGGAGGCGGAGGCTACTATCCCGGCCCGCCGAGGCACCACGTCCTCTCCCCGACCGCGTTCATGTCGTACCTGAAGCAGCCGATGGTCCTCACGTCGTTGAACTCGGGCGACCAAGTATCCGATTTCCACTCAGGTCTGTCGACGAGCATGCCCCGACGCTATCCCACGACTCACCGCTTCCTAACATTTTTCTGTTGCTTTTCTATTTGTTAAAAGAAGTATTCCGCCCAGGGATGCCGGACCTTCTAGGTGGAGGGCTCAAAGGGGCGCCCAACGGGCCCAACTCGGTCCAGTCGATGGGCGGCAAGTCCTGCGAACTTCGGCTCTTCAAGTGTCTCACCTGCGGCAAGGACTTCAAGCAGAAGTCGACCCTGTTACAGCATGAGCGCATCCACACGGACTCGAGGCCTTACGGATGTACGGAATGCGGTAAGAGGTTTAGGCAGCAGTCCCATCTCACGCAGCACCTAAGAATCCACGCCAACGAGAAACCGTTCGCCTGCGTCTACTGCGAAAGGACTTTCAGACAACGCGCCATACTCAACCAACACCTCAGGATACATTCAGGTAACCAAGAAATTAATATATCTCGATCTTTCCCACAAATTCCTGCTATTCCCAAGAAATCAGAAACCATTAGCCTTATCCAAGACTTTTCCTATAAACACTAAAATAAAAAGGGGGATAAAATAACCCGACAAAGGTGTGTTGAAACGCGTAGTCATTTACATCTCAACTCGCGGGACTAGTTAACCTCGGAAATACCAGACGGATCGGACCCGTGTACAACAGTGAATCTCTTCTCCTCTCTTTTCTTTCTTTTTCAGATTTTGGATCCTCGAATAAATCGAGACCGAACCAAAAAATTCAGTTCGACTCGACGCCGAAAAAGAGGGAGAGCCGGGTACCTCTCAACGGAAAGGGTAGGCGAAAGTTGGCCTTGTGTGTGTCTGTTTGTTTTTTTGTACAATTTGATTTTAGAAGTTTTGGCATGAGAAACCCCTTGAGCACAATTTGTTGTATTGCATGGGTACAAACTTGACCATGTCCACTTTCAAAAACTGCATCTTAATCGTTTTGACAGTTGAGTTTTTTGTTTTAATATCGATTTGAGTAGGATTGATATGTATTCATATAGTATTTTTTGTAAATATTGACATTTTAATTTACTGTTACTCCTTGTTCTTCCAAACTTGGGCGTATCTTTCAGGGTTATTTTATGTATAAATAAACAAAATGGAAATATATAAACAAATATATCCAACGCACCTATAATTTGCATGAAAATTCCACACTAGAAAAAACAGAAAATCAAATTCAATTTAATAGATTGTATAATTTATATTATTTTGACGTGAGACAAACTTTTACAGCTGCAACTCCTTTTCCGTTTAATAAAAAATAAGGTCAAAACGTAAAATAAGTCTATGCTGAAACATTGTTTGTTATGTTCTGTTGCTCCTAAAAGAATGCATCTTCATACACACCCAAACCCACCGCAAATGTATCCATTTCAAGCCTGAATCAGCAGAAAAGTCTTGCTGTTCGAAGCTTCCTATCTTTGACTTTTTTAAACTAAATTAACATCATATTTTTTTTTCAGATGTGAGCCCTCATCTTCTGTACAAAAACGGCCAGCTTTGGCCGCAGGACGTCCCTTTTCCTCAGCAGGACAACAAGGACGGTCTTTTGGGCCTGGCCCACCACCAAGGATTCGATGGACAGCACGATCCCGGTGCTCAGTGCTTCCCGGACGGCACTATAAACCAATTTCCTGCCTACTTCAAAGACGCAAAAGGTAAACCCCAAAAATCCTGCTACGAACAGCTATAAAACTGTTTGAATTTCGAAAAATAGAAAATCTAAGGTAGACCGATTCTACAACCACTTCTAGTGTAACTTGACTCTCGCAAGGATGTCTCCTACGTCTATACTTTTCTTTATATACAAAAGTTTCCTTTCTGTCTTTTGATTATTACATTAATTAAACAAAGGGCAACAATCAAGGCGTTATCGGTAAATATTCTCTGGCTCTGGTTCCAGCAGTATATCACATACATGCTCTATTCGATTCCTGATTTTCGAAGATAAGGGAAGAAGTTTCAGTCCAACCTCTTGGCGGTTCAGACAATGCCATGTACGCCTGACATTATCATGGAGTAAAAGAAAGTTATATCAATTATCTTGGCATAACGTTCAGCAGTTTTGGTTGCTAAGGTGATAGTGTGTGATTGTAGGACTCCAATGGAGGGATCTAAAAAAATTGGGAGTAGAACATGAAGAGTCTTTGGAGAGTAGGCGTATGATAGAATTAGGAGAAGGCTTATAGGATATTCCTCAATTTTATGTTAGTAAAGTCCAAATAGAACCCAAGTTAGAGGATTTTTTTGGATAGGCTGGTGGGCAGGTATGTCTTCTGAGTACAATCGTCACCTGGTTCTTTTGTCAATGTAGCTTAATTCGCCTCCGAGTGTAACATCGAATTGGGATTACGTGTTCTTGGGTTGCGTACGCTGTTAGAATAGGGTCAAAGTTATTGCGGTGTTATCAGCTAAGGTTGTGATTTGATGGTAGTGTGTCAGTGGTGTAAACTATGAATCGGCCGGTCCTAGGATATTCCCGTGCGGAACGCCTGTCTTGATGGCTGAATATTCAGTGCCAATTTTCACCTTAAACCAACGATCCAGAGAAAAGACTACTGGGCAGTAGTATGGAGAGGACTATAACCGAATTGATGGGTTCGGAGGGTGTTGTAAGAGTAGAATATGCGGATTGTATTTGACGAGGCGTTCGGTGGTTTTACCCTCTTATCCAGATATTGGGATGTAATTTCGATGTAAGTTATTAAACTTTAAATTTCCATACTGTATACATCACTGTATAAATTCATTTTCTTATCTTACATATATTCGTTTAATTTATACAATGTTTATAAATCTCAGGCTCTGAAGAGGATCTCAATAAAGATCGAAACGTAGCACGATAAAGAAAGTGTTTTTCCGAATTTCGTTAATTTATTGCATCTAATGGAAAATAAAACTACTTTATCTTGAACACTATGATTAAATGTAAAAAAATATTGATGGAACAGAATACAAGTTTAGAGAAAACCTGTAATCATAATGGGAATGGGTTAAATGAGAAACAATAAAGTACCCTCTGCAGGGTTACTGTACTGGGACAAATAATAATAATAATTGAAAAACGCTACGGACTTATTTTACAACCTAATAATTTTTGACTGTATTTCTTGCTTTGGATAATGATATCAAAAATAGGATGGCACGTCAGTGGTCGACAGGCAAGGTGGTTTTCGAATTAGGAAAAACAGAAGGAGAAAGGATTTTTTGTATCCCCTGTTTTGATTATAAACAGGGTGCTGCACGTTTAATTCTTTTCGTATTCTTTATTATCGACCGGTTCGAGAAGCATAGCTAGATTTTTTTCCACACCGGCGCTCAGGTCGTAGCCGAGTTTTTCCACCTCCACCTCCGGACAACCTCCCCTGGAATTCTATCCCCACTCAGTTCCCAATAATTCTTCCAAAAGGTTAATTCGCTGTTATTTGATATTTAAAAAAAAAAAAAAAAAAAAAAAAAGGAAAAAATTATTTGTTTTTCGCGGGAGAAATGGGTGTTGTACGTGACTCGTCCAACGCGACTTCGTGTTTTCGTAAAATCGGTTTCTTATTATGCTAACTCTCCTGCCGATATCTATTTCATCGTTTTTCTACTTTTAACCCAATTATAATTAAAACATAAACAATAAAAGAGGATACAGTCGTAAATGGGTTCTTCAGAAGATATAGACGCGGTGAATCTGACCGTCAGCAGCCTGTCAGAAGATGAAGGTATACCTTTAACACTGTACCTCATTACCTCATACTGAAAGCGCACTGAAATAGACCAGTACCGTCATTCCACACCGTACTCTACATTTTTATCCCCTATTATTATCTAAAATTAAAAATATTCACTAATAAATTTTTAACTAAAAAAATCAAATATGTTAATTAAGTGAATGTTTAAATGTGTAGAGTTAAGCTTTTTTTCAATGTAGATGAAATTATGGTCATAGCAAAATTGTGACTTTTTTTTTTAAATATTTGCTTATTTGTTAAAGGTGTCGCGCATGGTATAATTGGTCAGAATGGCAAAGGGATACCGGAGATGATCCAGTCGGGCCGTCAGGCCGGTATGCCACTCTATGTCCGCTGCCCCATATGCCAGAAAGAGTTCAAGCAGAAGTCTACCCTACTCCAGCACGGGTGCATACACATAGAGTCGAGGCCGTACCCTTGTGCCGAATGCGGAAAACGGTTCAGACAGCAGTCGCATCTCACACAGCACCTGAGGATCCACACTAACGAAAAGCCATATGGGTGCCTCTACTGCGGGAGGAACTTTAGACAGAGGACGATACTCAATCAGCACGTCAGGTAATCTTTTTTCCTTGGAAAACAAAAACCTACTAATCTTTTTCTTTTTTTGTTTTAAATCTGTATAAATCTAAATAAAACTAAATTTGAACTGTCCCCTGAAGGAGCTGCACAACACAAAAAGTAAGTCACTGACAAACATTTAACTATACAAGAGTGAAAATTTATTATTTGGTCCTTGCACAAAATGTGTTCGAGTATTTTTTCCTTTGAGTTTATAGCTTTCTCATCTCTTTAACTTGTAACACCAGTGCAAAGGTCACACTTTGCAATAATTGGAATGATTTGATTTTAATAACATAAAATTAACTACATTAGATATTTGTAACAATATTAACAACCTAGTTAGGCAGAGAATAAAATTAAAAAAGTCCAAAACAAAATTTATTTTAACTGATACCTATAAAGGTCAGAAAGAAGTGGAAATTTTGGACTTTTTTGGAATGTCATGTCTGCTTGCCACCTGTGTAAATTTTTTTTTATTATATTTGCATTTTAACCTTTTTTGCAACTTGTGTGCCTTAGTAGAATAAAAAAAAGTCTAAATGGTTTAAAACGCAAGGCTTTTCTCTGAGAGATGAGAGAGCTTGTTAAACAAATTTGTATTTTATGTATTGAAAATATTACTTGTTTTGCACTTCAAGATGAGTATCTATTAAATATGTTTTTTGTATTGTGTGCGCCTCTAATAACGAAAGCACATGATGTTAAAAAAATCAAAAGTAAATTTTGTTTAAAAAATAAATGTTAAACATAGTGTGGATGTTTCTGTTTTGAAGGATCCATACAGGAGAGAAACCGTACAAATGCTCTCAATGTGGAAAGGATTTCAGACAGAAGGCGATACTCGACCAGCACACAAGGACGCACCAAGGGGACCGGCCGTACTGCTGCCCAATGGCAAATTGCCGGCGGAGGTTCGCGTCGGAGCCCGAACTCAAGAGGCACGTCGACAACCACATGAACCCGCATGCGGGTAAGCGGAGGACTCTCTCTCATCCGCAGCCGGTTGTCAAGCCGGAGCTGTACCTGCCACAGTGTTACACGCCGGCGGCTGCGGCCGCTGCGTTCCAACAACAGTATTCCATGTCACAGCTTCTCCAGCCGCCTCCGCAGAGCACGGCTCTGGTGCAATAGGCCTTGACTTTTTCCTTGTCGTTACGATAAACATTTCTCGACTTGGAATATGTGGAAAATCGTTCGTGCCTAACTTCGCCTACATTCCTTTTTTTTTTTTAACTTCCCCCCTTCTGTTTTAGGGTCTTGGTAAATGATTTCACATTCTTCCTGCCCCTCATTTCAATTTTTTAAACTATATTGTAAGTATTGTGTGTATGTTCGGTTGGGTGGAGTAAAGAAATGTCGACCTCTTTTTTTTAACTTAAAAAATGTCACTTTTTCAAAACTTTCTTATTTTAAAAAATCAATGGTTGTTTCTTAACTATAAAACCACCTCTAATTCTATAGTTTAGGGTAGAAAATAAATTTTATACTTAACGAGGCCTATCGAAAAAGTAAAATTGTCTGGCTGAAAGTTCAGTTGGAAAAATGCAACATAGTTCTGTTGTATGAGTTACAAACTTGTTCAGAAATATGCAAAAAGTCGTGTATTAGACGAACAAAAGGAATTATCGTTACATCCAAATTTTGGTTTTGTTTAAATCATACCATGGTGAAAATAATTTAAAGTTTCCGTCTGTTCTGGTGGTTTTATACTTTTTATTGACTCTTGTTTCATTGTGTGAAATTTTACAAATTTCTCGACGAGGGAAATAGTTCAAGTTTATCAATAATTGAAATCTTTTTTTACATAGGAAAACGTGCCTTATTAAATTATATTAACAAAAAATTAAAAATATGATAAAGTTCGAATGTTTAATAGGTCGTACATAGTCATGACATAATCTGTGTTAAATTATGGAGGGAAACTTGTGTGTTTGACGTTAATAATACAAAAATGGAAAGATCTCAAGTAAAAAATTAAATTTGCGATAGTTTAACCCCCCTGTTTATCTCAAATCACAAATAATTTCCATAAGAAAAAGGGCAAAAACAATAACACAGTAACAAATCGGTAGAAGTAAGAAATCCCTACCTCAAATCCTTGAACCGGAAAAATCTCAGGGACGTTACTATTGAAACAGTGACATGACAGACAGTGATTGTTTTTATGTACATACGATGTAAACTGTATATAAAAAATACATAATATGTACAATTGTACATAAACTTTATGGAGAGAAATTTTTTTCTGTTTATATATTTTATTCTTATATTATTCAAAGGTTGAAAGTTTTAAAAAACTTTCTTTTTTACTGTTTTAATTTTATGTTTAAAAAGTTTTTTTATATTATTTTATAAAGCTTCAAGCTCAAAAAAAATTTGTTTGCAATATTAGGTTTTAGTTGTACAACTTAGCAATATAATAAAAAATTATAAAATTTAAAAACAAAAAGAAAGAAAAAAATGTGCCTAAATAAGTTTATCACAAAGGAGAGTCGGTCCTGTATGTGTGATAATTAAAAAAAAAAATGTGTCCGCACGATTTTGTTTCAAAGAACAGGGTTCCAAACCGTGGACAGGATGGCCAAATGTACAATCATGAATGTTATAAATACTAAAAAGAAGAGAGAAAAAATTATGGAGAAAGAAAAGAAGATCGTCGAAGCATAGACCAGTATTGATATAGACATTCTATAATTTAATATTAAAACAAACTTTCTCTCCCTCTCTCTCTCTCTCTCTCTCTCTCTCTCTTTTTTATATATAAAATTACTTTTGAGGAAAATTTGTATTTTTCTTGGATATTTTTCCCAGACAAAATAAACCAACAGAAATCAAAGTAGTAAAAAAATGAACATACTTGAACCTAAGTCCAAAGCATAATAATTAGCACAATGTTACATGAGGTGCTTGAAGTGTTATATGAAATATTAATTTTTTACATTGTAACAATGAAAATTTTAGCATGAAATATTGAAAAATAAGTTTATTATTATTATGTATTTGAGGCATACAAAATACATAGATATTCAGGGTGGTACATTTTTGATGCGTCATATACCACACCTGCTTAAATAGACTCTGGTGCAATTTTCTTAATTTTTTATTAAAACAAATTTGTTGGCACTGAAAGAATTTATTTCTAATTTTGCATAAATTACTCTATGTTTAAATTAATAAAGCTATAAAATCTACTGATGAAAAATGACAATGTATTCAATACTTTCCTAAATTAAAACAAAATAAAAATAAAAAAATTGTTCGGGTAAAAAAAAGCAATGAACTTGAAGTCAAATGAGATGTGACTTCCCTTTAAGCCTCAATGCTATTGGGTTATTATAATTGGACATTTCTCAGTTTTACAGGCATATCATATAACATGTTTGTACAGCATGATGTAGTTTATTAAAAAAAAAGTTTGTAAATATTGGAGGAAAATGTGGAAAGCGTGTTTTTAATCTAAACGGGATTAAATATTATTATAATTATCCAAAAGAGGATCTGTTAAAATCATTTTAGCCAGATTTCAGACCATTTGGTCGTTACTGATCATTTTGGTTTGCTTTACCTGCTGGGTTGGTCTTTTATTTAAGGCATTTCGCCAACTTCAATATATCTGTGATTTCTGTGCTAGGCAAATCAAAGTGACCAGAAGCAACCAAATGATGGTGGTTTAAGTGTTCACGGTGTAGCAGAAAAATAAAAGACCACCACAAGCAGCCTACCCCAAACTTTTTTTGCTTACAAGGGGGAAAAGCTGATATTCCATCAAGAGGCTACCCTCCTGGGTGTGGGGGACTTGCACCCACTAAAAAAACCAACCCAAAACTTGCTATTTTCCCATCCTGAAACCATTACGATCATTACATCACAATCGCTTACTAAGGCTTATAAGCCCCTCCTGTTCTGGCTGACCTCAGAGGACAGTCGTTCTTCATCTCTTTCAATCACATTAAGAAAATGTATGGCAAGCATCATCCTGCGGGAATACTCCTATTATGTGAGTGATTAACAATTTAAAATTGAGTAGGTATGTGAAGTTAATATATAGTGAAGTTACCAGCGAGAATAAGTGCCTTGACTTATTTATGTGGGGGTCATATCAAGTCTAAAATCAAAACAAACCCCTATGCCTATATACCAGTACAACTGAGGATTTTTATTTACAGAAGAAAAGAAAAGAAAAGTGTTCCATGGCATAAATGATCATTTTGTATTTTCAACCTCAATGGCCTTTCCTCAGCAGGCCTTTGGGTCAACCTGAGTGTTCATACAAGTAGCGACTTTAGTCTATTTAAGTAGGTGGTATGTGTTTTTCCTATGATGCATCCAAAAATGTGCCACCTGGTATGTATGTGTGTTTGTTGAAATTCGCTGATTGTACAATATTTTATTTTTCCAATCTGCAATAAATTTTTTAGTTTATTTTGATCTCACCCAATCAAGAAAAGTATCCAAGACATTAATTTATAAATAAATAATCAAGTGGACAGTTTGAGTAATTAAAACAAAAAAAAATAAAAATTGTAAGATATGTATGTAATTATTTTTATATTAAAAAAAATTAATTAAAAAAGAACATTTTCTTTTTTTGTACCATCTTTGTTTTATCATTTAAAGCCAATCCATCATAGGAAGAGATAAATTTTAAAAAAATCGGACTGAAAGAATGCTGTGATAGAACTTTTTTACAATTTGTCCCCTCCGGCCTTGATTTTTGAATATTTTATTTTTATCGGTGCTGACGGTTATTTTCCCTTCCCTTTTCTTTTTAAGATTTTGTCAATATATACACGTAATATATGTATATATTTACTTACATTCTTTCCTTTTAATAAACGATGTGTTTTGTGCCATTTTTCTTTAGTTCGTTAATTTTAAGTTTTACATTATTGAATAGGTTAATATACTGCATATGTAAAAAAAAATTGATAAATCATAGAATTTAAGATGGATTGGTTTTTGAATTATTTTTTCGATAGAATTTTAAAAGAAGTAACTTGAAAGTTATTTAAAACGTTGACTGTGTGGTTGATTACGTGTCTGCCCATAGTCGACATGTTAAGAAAAAGAAAGAAAAGTAGTAAGGAAAATGTAAATAAAATGAAACTGGACAATTTTAACTATTTTGTACCCTTGTTATATAAAAATTAGAATTTAATTACAGACAGATTCACAGAAGAACAAAAAGAGAAAAAATGTGCAAAAAATTCTTTTCTTTTATATGGTAATTATATAATCAATAATTGTAATGTATACGAAAATAAAAAAAAAACTTTAGTTACCAAAACTGTTTGATTTTTTCTTTTTTTACCCCTTCTCTTTAATAGTGTTATAAAGAATAACCTGAATTTTTTTTTATTTCCCTGTGATTAGCCACGACCATAAGGCAATAATGGCATTTTTGATCAGTGGTACAACTACCCTCAATTTAGTAACTAGTAACACTGAGAAAGGAAATATTAAAAACAAGAGTAACAAAACTACCTATTGGGAGTACTACAACATTGTATATTTACTATAGTCTAGTGTTGTTATCAGTTTCACTGTCAGTGCTTAAGAGATCCTGCGTCCATCGGAGGGTTTGAGGCAATTCATTGGGATGAGAGTTTCTGGATGTGAGGATTTCTGGTAGTTGGGAAGGTTTTATGAAACTTGCAATAACTTTAATCCAATAAAGTCTCAACAGGCTACAAAGAAGAAGAATTCAAGTGGTCATCAGATACATGATATACAGATGGCTCCAAAACAAATGGAGGTATCAGAATAGGTTTTTTTTTATATGAGCAATCAAACTCATTAAGGAAGTGTACACCTTGATCTTTCTACATATATGCCATGTGCCTTAAAAATTCTTAAAAGAGAACTAACAAAGAGGAGTAAGATCAGATAACCAAGTAGCTATTAGAACACGCATTTAATAAACCATATCAAAATTAGCCAGGGAATGCACATGGGGAAACACTACAACCTGTTAATATCTTGTATACCAATAGTACTGATAGTAGTTACTTGAATTGCTGTATCATCTACAAAAGTCATTGTGGTGGTTAAAGGATTGGACACAAGGTAAAGTGTTGGTCCTGAAAACAACTCTGAGGAACACCAATGTAGAAAGGAAAATATGTGGATAGGGAATTGCCTTTGTAACTCTGAAAAACTGATCAGCGAAGTAGCTGTGAAGTATGGGATAGTAGGTAGATGGGAGAATGCCCTAGAGCATGTGTTCATGCTAAACTCAATAAAAAAGCTTGGCTAACTTCAAAACAGGCCACAGAAAAGTACTCAAGGCAAGGGAGATGTGTCTAAAATGTGATGACACTGGAGGATAGTACAGTTGCAAAAATCAAATTGACAGTCAGAAATTCAATTTTTAGGTATATAATATCTATATATTTTTGAAGATAGATAAGATACTCTATTCAATATATACAATATAAAAAACATGTACAAGTTATACAACATACAGTATCGTACAGATAACAACCCATCTATCGAGAATATTAAAGGGCATAAAATAAGAAGAAATCAAGAGAGGTGTGAGACAGGGGTGCAACCTGTTGCCACTACTATTTAATATATACTCCAGGGGGGAAAATTCAGGGAAGATTCTTGGTCTTGTGGAGGAGGGTTTAAAGGTAAATGGTACCCCAATAAATAATATTCGATATGCGGATAATACTGCTTTAATTGAACCAGCCAAGAATTACAAAGCCTACTTGATAAGTTGTCACAAAAAAAGTAACAAACTGGTTTAAAACTAATTGCGGCTATGACTAAATACATATCAGATAGATGATGTCACCTTAGAGAGGGTCCAAAACTATCAGTTGAACAACCTATGGGACTACTCTAAAGAAGTAAAAGCAAGGAAAGAAAAGGCAAGGACATCCTTTATTAAAATGAAAATGGTACTGTGCAGTCACAAATTAGATCTGGGGTTAAGAATAATATTATTGAAATGCTACGTCATCTCACTTCTACTGTATGGTCGAAGTTTGGACACTACCTACACACCTCTGGACCTTAGACAGTAAACTAAGCGTCTATGAAAAAGTTTTAGTCCTTTGGGATGAGGACCTATAGAGGGAAGCTAAAAATAAGCTGGATAGAACACCACAGTAATACAGAGTAACTCAGAAGAATAAACGAAACAACAATAAAACCAAGGAAACTTGGGTATTTCCCTAAACTCTGAAACTCCCTTCCCCTTTCTATCCATCACGCTGCCTCCTTTTCCTCTTTTAAATCCCACCTGTATAATCACCTCCTCTCCCTCCAAGCAGAGACCTCACGTTAACATTTGTTATTTTTGTTTAATATTCTCGTAATTTTCTCTTCTGTGCTGCCTTACTGGTATACATTGTGCCAAGATTTTTATCTTTTTTTTTACTTTTAACTTCATAGAAGGAACTTCCTTTATTTATTTCATGTAAATTATTCTTAGGGGACACAGTCCCAGAATAAAGTTATTTTTCTTATTTCAGTCATGTTATACATCACCAGGAGAAATATGAACTGCTTAAAATTATAATAGAAAGAAAAATCTAAGAGAGACAAGATTCAGGTGCAAGAAGAATTTCCTGGCTTAAAAAATCCAATGGGTCAACCAAAGCCCAGATCCAATCCTTTTAGGAAGATAGTTCCTACTCACAGTAAGTTGTTTTCCAACGATCCGTATTTCAAGCTTTTAGCTCATCATCACTCCCTCGACCTGATGATGAGCTAAAAGCTCGAAATCCAGATCATTGGAAAACAACTTACTGCGAGTAGAAACTATCTTTTTAAAAGGATTGAACACCGCACTCACTCCACCATTCATCATTTCTAAGCACCAGATCCTTCTTTAGAGCTGCTGTTGGCAGATTGTGCATTGCGATCACATTGACCAACATTCATTAACATATAGGGTATGCAAATAAGAAGAAAGACAACTTTAAAAAGAATAGCTAATTAGGAATGGTCCAATATATATAACTAAAACTTAACCTTTCTTAGTCAAATAGAAAAAACAAATGGCAATTTTATTTATTTTTTTAATGAAAAGTAATACGTATTGAACCAATTGAATTGCAATGAATTGCTTACATAACAAGCAACAGGTTGTCAAATTTGTTCATTGTTCCAGATAAATTGAAAGTAAGAAAAAGTTGTGTGCGCCTAATATTCAGAAGATAGAACTCTGATACAATTTTGCATTCAGCCACAATGTTGAAAGATCTTTATTCATGAGTTGCATAAATAGTACAATTAGTCTTGCATGGGTTTTTTTAACGTATAGTCCAAATTTAAAAATATTTGTTCAAATCATATTTAGTAAGCATCGCATATCTAAGAAGTGGAAAATGTTTGTCTGCTTAATCAAACGATTAAAGTACAATGAATGGTCCCAAATCTTTATAAAGGAGGAAATAGGTCTACAAGACTTATTTAAGCAGTTCTCATGTTAATTATCCCTTTCATCTTAAAAGGATTATAGTGTATCAGGATTGATCAGTGATGATACAGGTTACTAATCATTTTGGTCTGCCTACCCTCCACTGAAGACAGCAAAGAGCCGAAATGCTCTGACTGACTCAAGATAGGTTAAAATGATCATGAACAACCAAAATACATGTGTAGCTCATATTATGGAACATTCTTTTGTAAACAGTTTTTTTACATACCTTTTTTAAGTATGAGATTTGGTCGTTTGATGCGGTTTTCTATGATTCTCTGCCTGGACATCCAAGTTCATCTTGTGTGACTATTCTTATACTTATAACCTACCAACTCCTAACCTAACATTTTTGGGAGGTTATTTCAGCTGTGAGGTTATATGAACTCAGTGTGCTGGTCCTTTTTTTTAAAAAAGCTCATTTTTAAGTGGGTTGGGTTCGAATTCAAATGCAAGGCTGCTGGATTCGAACCCAAGACCTTTACAGTGATGAGTGCTGTGTCAACACCAAACTTTTTGCAGCCACCAATGCCCCCTCTCTTGTCTACTCTATTTAATCAGGTACCTGACAAATTATGTACCCTTACAAGGTAAGTTATAAAAATATTCGTGTAGGTTTGAATAAATACACATTAATATAAATAATCCCTTTATAAAGTTATAAGTTAACACAGACAAATGTTCAGTACAAAGATAAACTAGACATAAAAACTATGTAATATTTTTAGTTTTCCACAATGTCTGGCACTTTGATGACTTTGTCTATGAAGGTTATACCTTGGAGTAGCGATTTTGAAAGGTGTTCTTTATGATACAAATTGATCGTTTTGAAGTAGGAATAGAGGTTGCTGTCTATGTAAATCAAGCTGTAATTGTTGCTGACCTTCTGAGAGGCCATGTCGTCGACTATGTTGTACAGGGAGACCTTCTCCGATCCCACTAAAGTGTTGAATTGCCGTTCGACGATTCTTGGTTTTATAAATACCAAATTGATCTGCCTGGTTGATTCCACCTCTGAAGTTGGAAAAAAAAAATATTATAAACATAAATTGTAATGTAAAGTTTTGGATTTACGTCTTGCACAAAGCAGGGTGGCAAGTATGCATGCGAAGTGGTGGAAGTTGAGTTCTTTCGAGTACATGGTCGAGTACATCCCTGGGTCTTCAAATAAGTACAGGTCTGCTGGTGGTATTTCCTTTTCACATGTTTTTGCCTTTTTGTTGTAATAAAAAATAAATAAATAAAACAAATAACGAGTATTGTGTGATGTACCATGGTGAATGCAGGATAAATACTGTTGGTGGATATCTCGTTGAATAAAATTTCATGCAGTTTCCAGCCTAAAAGGTATTTTTTATTGCTGTCTATATTCGACCAGCTCATCGCGTTCCTGCTAATGTTGATTGACACAAAAGTGTTGATTTTCTAGAACAAATCAAATTCAATCAACCTAGAAAAAAAATTGGAAATACAAACACTCACGGATGAAATCTGTGGTGATATTATGTTGGCTTTGTTCTTGGTCGTTTTCTTCTTAACAGGCTTGTCCGTTTCCAACATTCTAGAACAGAGGCTGCGCAGCATTTTCGGCCCGATGCCTGGCACATTGAGCAGCTCCTCTAAGTTGTTAAACGGCCCCTTTTCCTTCAAATAGAGGCTTAGCATATCGGCTTGTTTCCCCCTGATAAGTGCTCTATAAAATGTTTTTAAAATCATAAATGTCTTAAAGACTTTCTATGGAACGGTTGTAGGTTTACTATGATTGGATATTAACTCTTTATGTAAGAAAGATTCGAGGTTCAGAATAGTTTATAAGACAATTAATTAAGGTTTTTAATTGAGATAAAAAAGTCAATGGCACGAGCGGGATTCGAACCCACGATCTTCGGCTAGATACGCCGCTGCTCTTCCACTTGAGCTATCGTGAGGTCACGATATCTCCCTAATCCCGCTCGTGCCATTGACTTTTTTATCTCAACTAAAAACCTTAATTAATTGTAATATATTAATTGGTCTATCGGACCACGAAATTAGTGAATTTAATAGTTTTATAAGGTTGAACTCCATAATGGAGGCCATACTTACTCTTATAACCATGAAAACACTAAAAATTGCAATGCTAGAGGGAAGTTATGTGCTGAACTCAATTGTTAGACATTTGCTAATAATTAAACTGTTTAAGCTGGAATTACTTCAAAGTTAGTTATTTATACTGTGAGGTGACAACATTGACGTGGATCAGCTCAGTCCAACCCTGTTCAATTAATGATCAAAAATAGCTGAAGTTTGGTATAAGACTTGGTGAGATAGAGGTAAAGGTATTGCTTTATATGTATAAGTAATTATTGATCTTCATATTACTGTATATGGGAGCTGTTGGTAAACCTTGTTAAATCGAAAAAACATGATTGAAAAACAAAACGTTGCAGATAGTGAATGTTTTGTTTATTGTACATTTAAAGAACAAAAAATGCGTTTTTTTAATTGTGCCTTTTTTTTAAATCGATAATACGATTTAAACGGCATAACACCGACCTAGTCTCGTCTGTCAATCGGTTCAGCTTGTCCAATATGAGTTGCTGTTCCTCTTTGGTGTAGGATCCTTCCCAACGGCCCATCCCCCTGATGCAGGGCCACCTATCGACTTGCCGGTTATGTCGGCCACCCACAGATGGCAGCCGGGTCCACATCGCCCTCATCATACCGATGGTCTCTCGGGGCAGAAGGTTGCTCAACCTCGTCTGTTGGGTTAGTTCGGGCGGTCGGGCCAAAAATACCACCGTTCGTTTGGAACCTGGTGTAGAAAAAAACATCAAACTTAATGTCACGGGAAGAAGTTAAGGTGAGTTATTATCATCTAATGAGTTATTAACAGTATTGAATTATCGGACAGAGAGTTTTACATTACCTTTTACACCCTCGACGGGCCCCTGTTATGTAGTGATGTACACTGTTGCCTCAAACCGACAACGACCATGGTGGTGGACTTTTGGATGGAAAATTGTACAATTGGTCACACGCCGTGATATCAGGAATGACTTGAATGTCGACTATAATTCTGTCGGTAATGACTCGAGATTTTTAGCGGGAGATTCGAAATATCCGTTATAAACATGAATATGTGTAACGGTTATAAACAAAAGTTGAAGCCTTTTTGTTTTGTTTCAATTTTCACCCACCACCATATCACCAATCATAATTTGAATATAGAAAATGTATATTAATAATAACATAACAAATCAACAATCCAAAACAAGCAGTTTTCCTCCATTAATTAAAAGTAATATTTTTGATTTTTCCTATTCTCAGAATAGTCTTGGGTACAATATTGTAGACTTGTGATCGGAAGAGCCAAGAATTTTACATAAAAATTACAATTGTTATATAGTTAAGGTATCAAAATAATAAAACCGACCGTTACTGCATTATTTTTCTTTTGTGACATCCATATTCTTACGGATGTTTTAAAAAAAGTAATGTGCAACTTAAATTAAATGGGCCCAAAATCATTTTTTTCTTTGGTGCTATCCAAAGAAAAAAGTTTTCATATCGATTTTTACTTCTTCAGTCTCTTGGTTCCATTGTGGCTATCCATCATTTGGCGGTAACAAACCATTTTCCACCATTGATTAATAAACCGTTTCCTCCTCTCGGATTAGTTTTGAGTTATGGAGTTGTTTCACATTTACCTATGTAGATATATGATCAGAATGATCAAGAATTTTACATACTAAACTTGCAAATATTATACAGTTACGGTATCAAAGTAATAAAACTGACCTTTACTGCATTATTTTTCTTTTGCGACATCCATATTCTTATGGATGTTAAAAAAGTAATGTGCAACATAGATTAAATGCTCTCAAAAACTTTTTTTTGCTACTATTCAAAGGAAAAAGTTTTCATATTGATTTTTACTTCTTCAAACTCTACGTTTTTGTGGCCATCCATCATTTGGTGGTAACAAACTGTTTTCCACCATTGATTAAAAATCCATTTCCTTCTCTCGGAATAGCCTTGAGTTTCAGAGTTGTTTCGCATTTACCTATGTGAATTTGTGATCGGAACGATCAAGAATTTTACACATAAAAATTACAAATGTTATGTAGTTAAAGTAGCAATGTTAATACATTGCTTCTTTATTACAAGCATGATACATATAAGCATACATTTATTACAAGCAGATTTTTTTTTAACCATCCATCTTCTGATATATCTTTAAAAAAAGTATGTATTATAAATCTAATGGATTAAAATATTTTTTACTTTTTATGTCCTCATGTGAAGGAGAAGAATTTTATAAACTGAAAGTAAAAGGTACGAGAATGCTTCCCATATGCCCCCTGTGTCTCCCCGTGCTGCCTGGCTCCTCGGTCGGGCGTCTGCTTCTCCCGCAGGTCGCACTCAGGACAGATTCAAGGCAAATATAACCCTGATTGTGGTTGCTACCTTTAAAATAAAAATAAAATAAAAAAAGGTACTGTTACAGGCCTGTTCCTTGTACATACAGCTTCTGACACATCATCTTAAAAAAAGAATGTGCATCATAAATCTGAAGGCATAAACAGTTTTTCCTTAATACTATCATGTTTCGAAAGCTGGCAAGTTTTGTTTTCATGGCTTCTTGGTTCCTTTGTGGCCATCTTTTGGTGGGCAGTTGTTTCAAATCAACAATCCAAATCAAACCGTTTTCCCCATTGATTAAAAATCCTTTTGTTAGCTCATTTTCTAATCTCAGAATACCCTGAGTACAGCATTTACCTATGTGGACATCTCGTGTTCAGAAGGATCATTAATTTTATTTTTAAAAAAAAGTCATATAGTTACGGTATATCAAGGCAATACAACAGACCTTTACTGGTTTATTTTTTCTTTTCTGACCATCTCTTATTGATTTTTAAAAAGTATTGAGCATCACAAATGCAATGGGATTAGGCAATTTTTTCCTTACTGCTATCTGGTTCTGAAGGCCGAGAATTTTAAGTTTTCATAATAATTTTTTAAATTAAGGTAAAGTATGGTAACAGGCCAGTATAAGCTTTCCTTTTCCTAGGCCATTTCCTCCCCTCGGAATGATCTTGAACCTACATCAAATGTCTTGTATCTTTGTTTTTGACAAATAATGTACTTCATTATATTCTTTGCCTTCTTGAGTTTTGCCTGGTAGATCAGGTGGTTAAAGGTTTGGGGCTCAACTCCACAGTAACAGAGGTCGTGATGTGGTCACTTGTAACATTCGTTTTTCAGTACAATCTGATGTTTGTACACCTGATTTTTTTCTGGTTTAATGAGGACTTTACATGCAATATCTTTTTGAAAAATATTATCAATTGTACTAACAAGAACCCTTCACAAAAAGTACATATAAATTTGTCTTCTTTTTTAAGTAAACACAGGCTTCTATAGTTTTTACACTAGCAACAATAATCCAACCGTTTCTTTAAAAAAAATTCTTGTACTGTCTTAGGGTTAAGGTAATGTCTTAGGGCTTTTTGGAAACTTTTCTGATCCACCTGATCTGTCGATGTTCAACTGTCAATTTTGGTTGTATGCTTTTTAAACCGCCAGTGTCATAATCATGAATTCTGCGCCATCTTGGTTGATCATAGTGCTTGGTTTTATAACAATGGAGTTATGTCATGAATGACATAAGAGTGATCTCTTCTTTCTCGGGCTTTTCGTTGTGAGAACCTTACTGCACTCCAGACTCTTATTCAGCATTGCTCTTACTCCCCTTACACTTGAACAAATGCCGACTGCACGTGGGGGCATGGCGAGGGCGATGTCCTCTATCCCCGATATCTCCCCCTCCAACTCCTACACTTTCAATGTGAAAATGCTATTAGCGAAATCTCTTAAACATACATGGATGGATTTAAGTCTGGAAAGTCCCTGACTGTTGACGTCTAAAATCATCAGCTATACAGGTTTGGATATGGACATGTATGAGTTATCCATTGATTTTGCAACAAATATTTAAATAAATCCGGACATTATTGACAACGCGGTCGAAATCCTTTCTCCTTTTTTTGTTTAGTTAAAGTATTCTTAGTTCTGCTCCCTGCCGTCTCGGTTGAAAAACCCGTCTCAACTATTGCACAGAGTCAATAGTGAAATGTTGGGTGTTGAAGCTAGTTTCAAGGTCTGCGGTCGAAAGGCAATCGATTCGCGTTGCTCCTGCGCCTCCGTCAATCCAAAGTTTACATTTTCAACCGATCTAGAGGACTGCAATACTCAAAAGGCCATGTCCAGAAAGTCCTCAGACAAAATATTACCAATTCGATTGATTTTCGTTTGTTCTGTCTTGATCGGACGTTCGGTTGTGAGATTTTCTCTTTGGGTCTAAACATGGTGAATCTGGTTTGGCCGTGACCATTTTGTTGCATACCATCGCCGTTTTGGCCTGTGAACATCAACACCCAGTAGCCGGAATGCACCGGACAGACTAGGGATAGGCTAACCTTCCAAACTGCAAAATTAGGTTTAACAGTTTTTATACTACGTTTCATCTAGGTTGATTTCAATGCGTGTATTTAAACATGTAACACTGGTATGACCTATACCCTTAACGGCTCAATCCAGCCCACATCCCCTCTCTTGAGACCCAACTTTATTCATAGATTCAACTGGAAAAGGTCCAAATTATTCAAGGCTTTACGGTTGTACACAGAAATTTGATTTTGTACTGTCTGAGTTCGAAAGCGAACTTGAGAAGTAGTACGACAAATGCCAATTTGTCCAAAGCATTTGTGCTGATGTTTCTCAACAATCCAATTTTCAACAGGTTTTAGGCGATGGCTTTATTTATTCACAACGTGATAGTTGTAGAAAGGCTTATACATAAAACAATATATCGGATAAACATGTTACTCTTTCATGCTTATTCTTTTCATATAAATGCTTAAAAGAGAACTTGTTCTCAATCAAACGTCCTCTCAACTTGGACATTTGTGGCCAGGGTGTCGGCTATTAGCGCAAGCAAGTAGGCGGACCTGATTTTCAGATGTATCCAATGGTTGTATAAGATCTATTTCTGCCTTAAGACCGACCACTTGGCATACAATACCCACGGAATTATCAATTTAAGAAAACGTTTTAGACGGTCTGACAGTCCCACTGGGCTGTTCTGGGAAATTTGACCTTTTCCGAACAATGGGAACGTCGTCGGTCTTTGGCATGGTACCATGGCATCTTAGGCCCAGGGTAGGGGGAATGTCAACGCAGTCAGCAACCGGCAACCTAGCGAAATCTTGCCGGCGATTCACACTTAACGTTAAACTATTATCGTCAATTTTTTTTCGTTCTGTACCATACTTTCTATTATTAAATTAAATAGAAGAAATTGAGCATTAATTTTGGATGAGGAAGAAATGCGGCTAAAAAAAGAAAATGGATACGCAAAGTATTTACAACACAAAATCAGGAAGACGAATACCACACCCTATTTAAAGAATTAAAGGATCATGATATATGCTTTTATAAATACTTTAGAATGTCTCATTATCAGTTTTATGTGCTTATTCAACATACAATACCGAATCATGTGAAATTGAGGTTAAGGGCGATACAAAAGGTGGTAGTGGTTGAAGATCTGTTGTGCCTGACAGTGGTGTTTCATATTGTAATTTTTTTGCATTTGGGGCAGTTGGAATGACCTTATGTCTAAGATGAAAGTGGACCATCCATTCGGTGATGTAATTTGAGCACTTCCTTTTCGGTTTTGTAAATATGTCTATTCTAAATGAGATGCGAAGAGTGGATTTTTCCGTGTGCCTAGAGGATTAGTAATTGTTAATTAGTTTGGTACTTTCAGAGATGGGCCGGAAATAGTTCACAGTTGTCAGAGATGGTCTGGTACTGCTAGAGATGATCTGGGATTGTTTGAGTTGGTTTGGTACTGCTAGGGATGATCTGGAATTGTTTGAGTTAGTTTGGTACTGCTAGAGATGATCTGAAATTGTTTGAGTTGGTTTGGTACTGCTAGGGATGATCTGGGATTGTTTGAGTTGGTTTGGTACTGCTAGAGATGATCTGGAATTGTTTGAGTTGGTTTGGTACTGCTAGAGATGATCTGGAATTGTTTGAGTTGGTTTGGTACTGCTAGAGATAATCTGGAATTGTTTGAGTTGGTTTGGTACTGCTAGAGATGATCTGGAATTGTTTGAGTTGGTTTGGTACTGCTAGAGATGATCTGGAATTGTTTGAGTTGGTTTGGTACTGCTAGAGATGATCTGGAATTGTTTGAGTTGGTTTGGTACTGCTAGAGATGATCTGGAATTGTTTGAGTTGGTTTGGTACTGCTAGAGATAATCTGGAATTGTTTGAGTTGGTTTGGTACTGCTAGAGATAATCTGGAATTGTTTGAGATGGTTGGGTACTACTAGAGATGATCTGGGATTGTTTGAGTTGGTTTGGTACTGCTAGAGATGATCTGGAATTGTTTAAGATGGTTTGGTACTGCTAGAGATGATCTGGGATTGTTTGAATTGGTTTGGTACTGCTAGAGATGATCTGTAATTGTTCAAGATGGTTTGGTACACTAGTGATGGGCAGATATGGTTAGAGAATCGGTTTCTCAAGGTCATAGACGTTTAGACATGGTCTGGTACTCCTAGAGATGGCCAGGACTGGAAACTCATCACTGAAGATCTTAGATATCAATACGATTGACAACTATCATTTTGTTGATTAGTTCGGGTAAAAGTTTACGAGATGAACTCAGTTTTTTTTAAAGTTTCAAATTTCTACCTTTTCATTTCAGATGCCAAGCCGCGTCTTCAAAGTGACAATGAATCTTTGAAACTAAATGTAAGTTTTTCCCATATTGCAACTCGTCAACAATGCACAAGAAAATTTGTATAAAATAACGCCGGCAATATTGTAATACAAATCCATCATGATTATGTATTGGTTCTTTGTTATTTTTGATCAGATACCAGTAACATTTTAAATTTAAATTAATTATTATTCAACAAAATTCTTATAGGTTAGTTCGCTATTTTTTGCTATATATTTTTCATCAATCATTGCTAATTCGGCGGCATATTTTATTTCTGACACAATCCTTTCGAAATTCACCGATTTGTGTGGCTTTGCACTTATTTATTTTATTCTTATATTCAAGCAATAAATTACGAACAATTTTTTTGCTATTGCTTTGAGATTTTGATTAATTAATACTAAACGCGGCGATGTATTTATTTTCATTCGTTAATTATCCCAAATGTGGTGTATTTTGGGCAATAAATTGCTAACATTTATTTAGCTTTTTAGTTCCTATTAATTAATTATTACTAATCTGACGATTTTTAGGAAAGGGGTATCGCACTTAATTTGAATTGTAAAATTTCTTTCTGTTGTTCATCTGTTTTTTTTTTTTTTTTTTTTTAAAGATGTCTCTCTCTCTCTCTCTCTCTCTCTCTCTTTCTCTTTCTCTCTCTCTTTCTCTCTCTCTCTCTCTCTCTCTCTCTCTCTCTCTCTCTCTTAATTACTTTTTCTTTTTCTTTCTCACTCTCTTTCTGTCATAATATTTTTTTCTTTCTCATTCTCTACCATACCACATTAGTTTCTCTCTATCTNCTCTCTCTCTCTCTCTCTCTCTCTCTCTCTCTCTCTTTCTTTCTTTCTTTATTTCTTTCTTTCTTTCTTTCTCTTTCTCTCTTTGATAAATTTCGATTGCCATTACCAAAAGGGCATTGCTGGCATACTATCTGCCGAGGTTTGAGGAACATGGCGTCATTGCAGGCCGTCCTTGAACCACGTGCCACATACTTTAACAGGCCTAAGGCATAATAGAGAAAATAAAACCGATAGCATAAGCTATTTTTTAACAATCCCGGTTTTTCCCACGCAGCGGTAAGTCCAATTGTATTTTCCTTTCAAAAAAACCCGTTTTTCCTCTTTTAGCCGTTTCACTTTCTTATGTTGCTGTTTCGATTCGGGTACGTTTGACTTTTTTTTAATTTATTCAATTTGTAATTAATCGTCAGTATGTAATATTTTCACATTGTTAATTTTACTGTAAGCTTTGACAATTTTATACAAGGCAGGGTTTTCTTTCCCCGTAGAGAGATGATGTGATGAATGACCGGAAAACACAATGGACTGTGTAAACTGTATCCAATGGGTTTATATTTTAATTTTAGCTTGTACGTATGTTTATTATTGGCAGTTGATCCATAAAACGTCCTTGAATGGTATCTTCTTTTTTTTTTGTCCTCCACCAAAGTGGGGTTAGACAAATAATCTATATAATCTAACCAAGTGTTTTGTGAATTAAACTACGTATGACATTGCTATGTTGATTGTTTTATGAATGTTTTCTTTTTTAATGTCCTTGTTATGTTTTGTTTGAACATATATGATGTTTTGGTTGATTAATTATAAATGTTGTGTTGGGTGAATTGTTTTACCCCACCACCTGTCGTGTTTAGGCCTGCATACTGACCCATGAGGTCATTATCGAAATATGACGTCTAACGACGATCGTCGGATCGATACTGGTTATCTTCCACCTCATATAGTGGATAAAATGTTATATGCCGATGGAATATAGGGATAAAAAGGAGGACTATGCCCACCCCCACCACTCTGCCGGGTGGTATTGACGCGACCGGAGAAAAACACGATAACGGCCGACTCCTCGTAAACCGGATGCGAACCGCGTCCGTAGGGTATTCTACTTTTTCACCACATTCCGTTGGATTCCGTCCCATCCAAAGAAAATGGTCCGAAATGGATCCGTGGTCGGACGGCTCTCGCCGGGGAAAGCCAGTTCGGTTGGCAAGAGTGGGCAAGTAGGGCGAGGGGTCCGTCGCGTCAGTGCTCTACTCGTTGCGACGCGATGCCATACTGGACCCACTCTGACGCATGATTCTGCACGTCTTACAACGGCGAGTTGCACCCTTCTGCAAAGCCCTGCGAGGTGAGGGTGACCCCTTGCAGCTTTCCTAGAAACGTTTTCACTTCGAGGTATACATTTCGAAGACGACCTCCAACGGTGCTTTCGTCGTTACGGGCGGCCATCTTGGCCACTTCCTCTTCCACTACTACCACGTGGCCGATAAAGTTTTTACACCTTTCTGGCTAGCTGCTCGATTCGATTTCTTCGGTTTTTTCGACCTTCCAGAATTCAATACCTCGGCATATGACCATAAAAAAAATCCTTACCCGATTTGATCTGTATCCTGCGCAAAAATGCCATATCATGTTCGAAACCATCGCCAAACGTGTACCTCATATCATCTCATTAATTTTCCATAATTTCTTACTCTGTTTAAACATTCACCACGTTTCTCACACTCTAGGATTTATTGGCCAGTTGACCTTTGATATTTATCATCCATAATTTGACTCCGCCATCTTGATTAGATTTGTTTTATTCCATCTACCCCACCACCACTTCTAACCTACCAATGGATTTTCTCCACTATTTTCATACTGATTACCTAAGCGGGTATTTTTCAAGGTTTTTTATAACTAATTTTAATTAATTTTGTTGGTATTATTTTAGTTTACTTATACAGAACATATACAAGCTTTTCACATGCTGATCACTAAATCTAATCTAACTAGTCTATTATTATATTTTTTTTTTTAAATATGCCATGTTTTCTACTTGTTTATTTAATTATTGACATTTTCCTTCCAAGCGTTATTAGTTACAATTGTTTTATTCCACCTTTATACCCAGTTATAACGGATTAACTAAAATGGTATTCTATATGGTAAGTCTTATGAATAACTTTTCCTTGCAATCTCTATACATTGATTAATAGTTGTACATCACCCATATTTCGACTCTTCCATCTTGGTTCCATCCTACCGATGTATTATCCTTCATTATTTTAATACTAACGAATTACTGACCTAAGCAGGTACCTTCAAGGTAATAACTTGCGAGTTAGCTAATTTTAATTAACTCTGTTGGTATTTTTTAAAATTATTTATAGAACTTACACAAGCCTTTCACCTTCAAATCTTTGTACACCTAATCTCCTCTTACAGGTCTATTCATTATTCCTTTCTCATTAAGAAATTAATTAAATACGATGTGTTCTCTCCCTATTTATTTAATTATTGACATTTTTCCAAGCGTTATTAGTAACATTTGTTTTACTCCATTTTTGTTTCCCCACTCATATCCAACCTCTTCAATTTGCGTATTAACGAATTCACAACTAATGTGGCATTCTGTAGGGTTTTTCTTATGAATAATTTAATAATATATGTTTTATTTGGTAACTGTGTTTTGATATGATATATTAGCTTATAAGCGACAGTTTTTCTTCTCCACGTGCGTGCCTGGATTGATAGCCGATATCCGGTCCGCCCGTTCTCGCCGTGTTCGAGCCCTATAACTGTGTTATTTTTAAACGGTCCCAGGACCGTCCTACTCCATCTTCCCCCACTTCGAATCTACGTTCTCTTTTCACCATTAATTTGTCTCAAAGGATTTACAGACTTTACGGTTTGCTTTGGGAATTTTCCGATCAATGAGGATGGGTTAAACCGGACGGTCAATGGAATCGTGTTCTCGAGTCCAACAGTCATCGTGTGCTGTGTTGCCAAGCTGTTCCGACGGCCTGGGGAAACGTTGGACACTTGCTGCGCATGTCCTTGCCTGAAAGGTTAGAGGGTTTACGAGTTTTAAACACTGCAAGAACAGCCGGACCAGAACTACTAAAACTAACTCAACGGCAGCATTACTCGTGAGATCAGAAGTGATCCCGAGTTTCAGCCAACTTTTAAACAATAAGCTCTGTTATAAGAGACTTCCATTATTAGAAGGAAGTGAATGGTGAAAGTAGTCCATAACCATAATTCCGTACATACCTCAATTTTTATTCTCTTTATTACACATAGTTTATTTTAAACTTAAGTTTGTTTTGTCGTCTTTGCGGTACTGGGTTTAAATGTGTAACCTTGTTTGTTTTTCGTTTTGTCTCTTGATATGGTAGGCCGGTGACCTTCGAAAAGCCTCTTTCCATGTTCGATTTCAACTTTATTAAATAACACATGTGCCCGGTTTTAATGCTTTGTTTCCCATTCGACAATGTGGTATTGATTTTCATCTTTATAGATCATTAGTGCCGATATTGTGTTTTTTATTCGAATTGACGTTAGCACCTCTTCACAGTCAACACACAGTCATATCTATTTTATCTACAAAACAAAACATTCCCCCATGAGGACAGATATAAGCAATTAAATGTAAACCATATTCAACGGTTTTACAGGATCATTTATGAACGGACACCGCCCTTTTGCCAAATAGGCACGGCAAGATACAAAATGCCTAGTTAAGCACGTGAATAGTCATGTAAAACCCTATTTATTCGTTTTGTATCGTTATCGCGTTTGTAAGTTTATTGTGCTAATATTTAGCAGTTCACCCAGTTCGTTCAATAGTTTATTGTGCTTGTAATATTCAGTGCCGCAGTTCGTTCAATAGTTCATTGTGTTAGGAGTTCACATAGTCTGTTCAATAGTTTATTGTGCTTGTAATATTCAGTGCTACAGTTTTCCCAGTTGGTTCAATAGTTCATTGCGCCACTTTTTAGTACTAGTGTTCACATGGTTCGTTCAATAATTCATGGGGTCAGTAATATTCGGTTTTAACTGTAATTCATGGTGTATTTAAAATTCGGCGTTAGGGTTCAGCCGGTTGCGATGGTGTCCGAAATATTGTGCTGAAATAAATTATAAAATCCAAGGGGTTTATTTTTATTTTTCCCTTGTCTTTTTCATCGACTGTAATTTTTTTTAAAAGAAAGGAAGGGTGTGTGTGTCTTACCCCTCTGTTCAGAACGTTATCAGCAGATAAGTTGGTCAAATAAAAAAATTATAAAAAATAAAGAAATAAAATTCTGCACATATGATTAACGTAATTATGCTATTGTAGTATTATGTTACTGTAGCTCTTATTTCATCATGTGTTTGTTGTTTTTCGTTAAAGTACATTTTTTCAGTGTTCTATCTATCATTGATGTCAATTTATGATATAGCTATTGCTAGGTATTTCTTTCAAGTACCTGTTTATACCTGAAGCGATTTAGAACACTCGAACGAACCTACTAGCACGACCTACCTGGCACAGAAAAGACTAGCTTGTACAGTCAAGTTGAAAAGTTAAAGTTGAAATCGTAAGGAGGTCGAGTCTGAACGCTTAATATACGGCCTTGCGTTAATACTTATAGAAGAAAACCTTTTGTCGCAGGAAGAACATGTCCGTTAAGGGACACAATGGCACGGTTTATGGAAGAAAATTAAGCAAATTAACTCAACCTAATAGAAGGGCAAAGCAACTTGCCATCTTTCGACTAGCCGTGAGGGAAACGATTTCCCAACGAATTGAGATTCCGAACTTTCACAGATTAACAAGTAGATTACTGTGTTGTAATATTTTATTCTCCTGCTAGTTTCGATGTTGCTTGTTCGATTTGGCTTTCAACTGTTCGCTGAACCCTTCGAGCACCTGGGCATAAATGTGCAAGGATACTGCTCGGATCAATACGTGACGGGTTATGTTCGATCAAACTGCTGTCACCCACGTTTGTCTTACAACGGTTTTAATGTATTTATGAGAAAATTAACGGAGCATTAAACCTTTCCATGAAACAGGTTTTTGACGGACAGTCACAGCTCATTAAAACACTGCAAGGTTAAAAAGAAATCGAGATGTGACTACCTAAAGTCAAACCTTACGATTTAAATCAACATTGACTATCCTAGTTGTCCAGACCTTGTTTAAAAGATATGCCTCGGGAACAGGATCCAAAAGCGGTATGGTGAATGGCGACCTTCGCTATAGTACAGTCCGGTTCAGTCGGTACCAGGCATTCAGTTAAAACGCGTAGAAGCAGGGATAAAATCATAACTGAAGATTGTCAGGTGAAAAGCAATCATGTCCTTTATCCCTTGAACCTTTGTTCTCAACCTTCCCATGGCGGAGTGTGCAACTATAAAATCGATAGGCACGAGTCGTCCAGGCAGCTTCATCATGAAACATCACTTTTGAGCTTACCTTGAATTTTTGTTAAATAAATATAAAACTTTAAGTAGTTCTTTATGGCCTGCTTTTGCTAAGTTTTACATAATTTAAACTAATGCTCATTTGACTTCTGGTTATTTAGTCAATACGTTCTGCATAGTTAACAGTTTAAAAAAATCCCCTGGGAAAGTATGCAGTTTATATTTTGTATTCTCAAAGGCGTCGGAATTTTATTCGTTAAAGCGATAAAGCGAGATAGTTTGTAAAGATGTCAATACGCTTATTTTTTTTTTAAATGTTTAATATAGTTATGTGCCGCGGCTTATGGCGGGATGTCAAGGATATAAGCAGAGAGAGGCAAAAGCCTGACTCGCCCTACGAACTCAAACGATACCGTGAAATGTATTTATTCCGGTCAAAGCGAATTATTAAAACTACCTACTCGGACGTTATTAACAGAGTATTTTTAGAATAATTTTACTGAATTTGCCTTGTGGCAGTAACGTGAATAGGAGACCTACCGAAACCTTAGTCAGAAACCGTGGTTATTTTTGTCTTTGTGTGACTTTTTGTTATTGGTCATTGATCAAACAGTGGAAAGCATGAGGAGAAACAAAATTTTCTCTTTTATCATTGTTATCTGTTAACTGGTCATACTGGCTATGGCATGAGTGGTCCTGTGCCCACTTGTGGATTAGTGGTAACATCTCGTTTTACCAGCGGTTTTTAAAATTGTCAGACAATATTCATCTCTTGGTGTCGTGATATTGAATGATGTCGTCTTCCCGATTGCTCAATAATACATGGTGTTTGTAATATTCACTGCTACTCACATCGTTTACATGGTTCGTTCAGCAGTTTATTGTACTTGTAATGCTAATTGTTGAATTCTGCCCAGTTCGTTCAACATTCAGCGCTGAAGTTCAAACGGTTCATTCAATCGTTTGTTGCTCCTGTTTTATTCAGTGCTAGTGTTCACCAAGTGATATTCGGTTCTGATGTTTACCCGAATCGTTTAATAGTTATGGTGCCTGTATTCAGTGCTAGAGTTTGCCTACTTTGTTCAATACTTATCTTTTATCTAATGTGCCTGCCTTCTTTTTTGTACAAGGATTTACAAAATTGCCAGAAGTGTTTTGTCTAGGAACAGCTGTTCATTTTGTTTACTTTTGAAAATTTGTTTTTGTCGGTGTTAGATGTCAACAAGCAGTCGCATCTTTTCCACACAAACATAACACCGATCTTGATAAAAACCGATCTGGTGATAACAGTAGAGGATTGGATTTCACCCTATCGTGCTATGTTTTTGTTTTTCATTTACTTGTTTTTAACTGATTTTTGTTTGTTTTTGTCATAATGGGTCCGATATGCGTGGTATTTTACGTCAAATAGGACAAATCATGGATTCCTCGATATATGGATTTTTTGGCTTGGCCCATTTCCACCAGGCGCGTCCCACCGTCCCAACGAAGCCAACCTATAAAACAGCCAATATCAACGAAAAACGCTATAATGGCTATATTTATTATACCTTCTTTACCTTTACCTCCTTTGTATACTAGCTTTGCTGCTATGGATAGCTTTTATAGAAAAAACAGTTTCTCGAGTGCCGTGATCACTAATTGAAGCCTTAGTTTTTCGGGTTTGAAACTGAAATTTTGTTTTAAAGATAAATTGATGGTATCTGCCACTGGCTTGTAAATAATTGAAAGCATCATCAGTATGCTCTTTGTACAGAGGATTGATACCGATTCTGACAGTAGTAATCCTTGCATGTAGGTCATTCTCGATGGATTTTATGAGTCATTTTCTCTCAATTTTGGTGTGCTAATGGTGTATAATTTTGGTTTTTGAGTTGTGCCATGTGCATTCGGCTTGGCTCCCAGCTGTTGATCGCTCAGATTGTTTGATGTTCTAGTCGGATAATTTTAAATTAACCTCTTTGTTTTTGACCAGGGTGACTTTGGGCCTGACGCGACCCATGGATGCGACTGCTCTGCTGCCATCTGATAGTGTACAGTCGGATAGCGAAGACCCTTTCGCCGACTTCGAAGAATTCTGCCAGAAAATTACCGAATCCGAGGTCTTGAATGAGTCAACCTCTCAAAAAGGTGGGTTCCGGATTTTTTAACCATTGTGTGTCGGCTTGTACAAAAGAAATATAAGTTTGTGATTTATCTTACATGTAGAAGGGGTGTGTTTCAGAGAGTTCCGTTGAAAGAAAGCCGGCCAAAGTTCCGGAGAGAGACGCAGTCGAGACGCTGAAAGGCGAGATGATCGAGACGCCGATAGGTGATGAAGTGGCACTCCTGAACGGTGAAATTGCATGCGAGAGGCTCGACAAACACATAAAATGCGAGATGTTCGCCGGCTCCGCGGATACGCGATCCGACCCTAAGGAAGACGATGAGAGAGTACAGTCTGATTTAAACCCTAAACTCGTTGAAAGACCTGATGAAGCCATACCGGAGGTAGCAGCCGACTCCCAAACCGAGAAAGTACCTGAAAACGATTGTAACGGATTAAAGGATAAAGGGGCAGAGAGTGATGCCGAACGGGATTCGACCGGTTTGGACAAGCATGATCACGAGAGGCTCGCTGACGTCCAATCGGCCCTAGACCGTTTGATCGACATCGTCGACTCTGGTGTCGAAGCCGGCCCCAAGAAGGAGGAATCCCCCGCCTTGGAAATGATAATCAACCCTGATGCGATTAAGAGGGCAATAGTGGAGAACGCCATCGCGGAAGAGCCGGCTGAGTTTCCCAAAGGCGAGGCGAAAACCGAAAGATGCGAGGTCGATTCTCCAGAGAAACCTGCAGAAGTAGACAAACCCAATATGGAATTGGTCGACACAGAGCTCATCATAGAAGAAAGGATCAGCGATCCGACTGAATTTCACTCACCTCAAGGTAGGACTCAATTTACCTTTTCTTGAACAGACGTCTCATTCTTTAAAACATAATTCATTTATTTTGTTTTCTCTTGATCATGTGTTTAAAAATTGATTAAAAAGTACTTTAACCAATAATAATCTTGGGCTGGATTGAGGGGTGTCTCCCCGGACTCTGAGGTCAAGGAATCTCCAGCGAGCTTAGAGGAGGTGTCGATGGTGACTAGACACCGACCCCCTCCTCGATAAAGTCCTGCGCGCAATATTAAGACTAAAAGCATCAGTTGCGAGAGATCCGTGGGGTTCCATTCTTTCTAGGCCTGGGGCTGCCACTGCGCCGGGGTCTGCGGGGGCCTCGCTCTGGGGGGCCGGGCTGCGCCGTTGACTTGCACAGACTCAAGGCTTAATGACCAATAAGGTTTCAGCCTTTAAATTATTTTAAAAAAAATAATAATAATAAAGCATGAATTCTGAAGCGCGCTAGCCAAGTACTGCCATGTGTATCTTTACTCAAATTAAACCGGTTTTTCTCACCCTCATATCTTTGCTTCATCTTAAGATGAATGTATGGGCTTTTGACATTTGAAACGTAAATTAAGCTTATGTCCCTAAAAATTTGAGCACTTAATATTAACCCTTTTCGAAAGGGGAGAATATTAATTTTGCATTTTTGTTAGTCTGAACACTGGTCATCAAAATTACAAGATACTTCCCGAATAGCCAGAACGTGAATTTCGGTACAAATGTAGGTTTTATATAGCGAGTAAAGGAAAAATTCTGAAAACTGCAATTTTCTCAAAATTAGTATCGCTTTAGCAGAGAGGTTGTAGTCCCACCATTAAAATTATAAGGCACTTCCCATGTAGATAGAAACATGATATTTGGTACAAAGATAGGTCTTACATAGTAGAAAAGGTAAGAATCTGAAAATAGCAATTAAAAAAAAAACTTACGTCTCTTTTGGGGGGAGGGAGGGGTAGGCCCATCATCAAAATTATAAGGCACTTCCCGTATGAGTAGAAATGTGATATTTGGTACAAATGTAGGTCTTATTAGTAAAGGTAAGCAGAAAAATTGCAATTTTCTAAAAATCAGTACCGCTTTAGGGGGTAGGAGTAGTCTCATCATTAAAATTATAATACACTTGTAAAGGTAGAAACATGAAATTTGGTACATATGTAGTGTACCTAGTCCATAACCAAGACGACTTCCACGATGCTGAAGGGAACAAAAAACGCTTTTTGAGAGACCAAAAAATAGGATACTCAGATAAAAATGATATGAAACGACACACGTGATCATCAGTGATCTTGTCTATAGATCATCCATATCTAAAAACTGATATGTAAAACTGAAGATAGGGATACAATCAGGTGATCAGCTGCCATAGATCATTATCCTTCAATGGGGTCTGCGGAGTGATGAACGTGCAGTTGGTCCGCCTGCCCTCGTCGGTTTGGCCTGAGGTATTCCAGTGATGGAAAATCACCCAGATCCAGCGGTGAAAATGGCCAAATCCCGAAACGCCTCTGACAGACCAATATGATCCTTCCACCTTTCCGTGGAAATGTAAAATATAAAATTCTTTCCAGAAACAAAATAATATTTTTATTGATTTTTTTTAACAAACTCAAAACAAAATACACCTTTTTGTAAAATACAATAAATTATATTTTTATTATCTTCTTTAATAAACGCAAAACAAAATACACCTTTTTTTGTAAAATAAAATAAATTGAAATGAACATATAAATTTAACTGGCGATCACTCAAAGGATATCCGGAATTAAAAGAAATAATCTTAAATACCTTGTGTTTTTAATTAGGTTGATCCTGCTCGGGTTCAGGAGAGAGAGTGTCCGATCTCTGTCCCCTCGAGCTCCTCTATGTTTATCTTTCTTTTATTTACATTGGTACCAACCTTTTAAAATTCTTATTAATTAATTTATTATTATTTTTTTGATCTATCTATTTTAGTTTATATTATTAATTTAATTTTAATTAATTTTATTTTTTTGGGACATCGGTTTGTAAGAGATATTACATCTGTATCTAAAAAACGGATATGACATTACTAAAAAATAGGATTTCAAGCGGTTGATCAACAGCGAGAGCAGACGGACCCCTTGTGCGATGATCAATCGTCACATCGTACTTCAATCTTTTTGATTTTTATTTAAAACGTTCATCATTTCGAATATTTGGAATGTTTCTCCGTAGTAAAAGTTGAAATGTTTATGAGTGACCACATTACAACTTGCCTATTGAGAAGGCATTGGCTCAAGCACTGCCTTCAGTTTCTCCGACTTATACCACACTATTATTCAACGCCTTTCAGCCCCGTTGGCACGTTTTCATTATAAATATTTCATTTTACAATAAAAGGACAACAATATATATAAATAATTGAAAATAAGCCGTTTCTTCTACAGTCAAGTTTCAGTATTATTTTGCAGGTTAGTTTTCAAATTTTGATCCAGTTATTTATAGGTTTTGTTTTGTTTTAATTTTAATATTTACCGTTTAGATTCGCCGTTTACCTACGTGTTCTGCCAATGCGATTTTTTCTTCCTTTTTTTTATTTATTTTGATTAAACATTTTAGTTTAATCAACTTGATGACGACGAGGACGTTGGGTTTTTTCAAGTGTTTGTATTTTATTAATATCTCGTATCTTTCGGTTTATTACTACATCAGCTCCATGTTTATTCCGCCATCAGTTCTCAGACCTTATCCCGTGTGGTTTTTAAATAAGTAAATTTTTCTTTAAACGTTTTTATATCTGGTTTTATACACTTTGATCTTTTTCTCTTTCACTTTCAGCGGTTTATTCTGTTAATGTTCGATCTGTTTGCTCCAAAGTAGTACAATTTCCCTCTCTTCATAACCCTTACTCTTCGCTCCATGGTCTCATGTTTGGCACTAAGTTTAGACATGTTCGAACGTTTTTTTCAGTATAGAAAAGCATCTCAAGAAAAAAACCGCTATCCGAACATTGTAATTTAAAAGAATACAGTTTAAACAAAACGGTTGAAGAGGATGTGGGAAAAGGACTAACCCTTGGGAAGTGCCAGCTGTTCCTAACTTAACAGGTTCTGCAGCATAAAAGTGATTGTATAGTATTTTAATTTTTTATTTTGTAAATGTTTTATTGTGCTGGCCGACATTTCAACAAAAATACTCCCAACCTTTGTCCATGATGGAAAAAAGAAACGTCATGAAAAGAAGATTAAATTTTTTTAAAATAAATTTTACGTACCATATCGGAATTCTCATTGGAAAGGCAACAGTTTTAAATTGTTTCTTATCGAATCCAAGTAGGAAGTCAGGAATATACAATTTTTTGTCATAAAAATTCAAACTATGCCTAATTTCTATATTTTAGGGAGGTTTTCAACTGGTTATAATTCCCACGGTTAAGGTTAAAAGGTCCCGGCTTTTTTTCGATACCCCGACCAATATTGGTCTATTGAACAATCACTCTGAAAAGCCAGGGTCATATATTGAGATCGTCTTCACTGGCGAGTTTTTTGAATTAGTAACGCAGGAACTGAAAAACAGTTCCTCACCGAATATGGCGCAATGCGAAACGCATTTGAGTAATTGGAACAAACTCGCGAGTGAAGACGGACCCAAAAGTGACCCTATGCCGGTTTAGTAGAAGAACACCGATTCGCAACCAATGCCCACCGTCAACCCTATTGTACAATTTCCATTATCTAGAGCTCTCTGTATAATCCTTTTTATCACATCCCAAAGCTTTGTTGGCCTTTTCCTTGCCCAATACAGGAATCAGCCTGCATAAGCGTTCGTACAGTGAGGACAAGTTCCTCTTTTTTTTCTTATTCCTGGTCTATACTATAAGAATCTGAAGCGTACGAGTCCTAACACGTCCTAGGTTTAGTAGTTATGCGCTTTCTACCATGGTGTCGCAAGCCTCTGTCCTCTGTCCTGAACTCAGGACTTATTCGATTGTCTCATGGATTTACGTTTTTGACAATTTGGGTATGCCACAATAGAGTTCGGAGCCTATAGGTGTCCTCATCGAACATTCTTGGTGAATTGGTCTCCTCGTTACCCCTCATTCCCTAGTGCCAATGGTACTAATTTGTGACAAGGCCTTGATATAATCCCAGGCTCTAGACTTAAGAGGTAGCTTTTAGTACTGTCTGGCTGTTCCAGTAGGTAGTTATAATCAGCGGGGTTTTTTCGCTGAAAAAGCCCTCTTTGAAAGAACTAAGTTTTAAGTTACTATATTTCATTCCAGTTTTGACTGTAGAATAGGTATTTGACTATATGGGGGCCTTGTAAATGCGTTTCTTTCATCTTGTAGTACAAATACGACACTCATTTCACCTCCGATGACCTGACTGAACAAAAACCCACAACTGATGATGGGGAAAGCAAAAACGTAAATCTCAATCCATCATTGCCCGGCAGACCTCAAAAGTCATCTGTCTGTTGGAAAAATTAGCTTGATCTTAATTGAGCTATGTAATGAAGTAAATCCATTTTGGTGTGAGCATACGCCTTAAAAAAATAGAAAAACTGAGGGGTTGAAAAGCAAGCGGCGCGGAAACCGCATACCCCGGGCAGGAAAAGGATGGGCAATTTATCAAAAATTTAAGCTTTTTACAAAGTCGATTAACCTAAGTTCTTTTGAATGGATCCCCCTGGTACACCACGTTCCCGATAAACTAAGCCCAAATTTTGCGTTACCGGGCAGTCAAAAAAAAAAAAAAAAAAAAAAAAAAAAGAAGTATAATCCATGCTACATTCGCAAGTTTCCGATTCGTCTTTTATTGACAATCTGGCGAAGTATTCTTCAATCCTTCCTCTTAATGCTTGGGTTATTTTATTATTATTACTATATTACTAACGGACCCAGACCTCGCGCGCAGGTTTCTGCCATTCATTCTCATCTTGAACATTTTCTTTCCAACGTCGGACGCCCGCCCAGCTCGGTGAAGTCATCATAGAGGTCATCAAACTAGCGCAAGCGTGGTCTTCTCATGCGAGACCCACCAGGTCGATTGAAGAGTAGCCTCTTGGTCAACCTTTACTCTTCCTTTCTCTCCACTTAACCAACGGAGCTACACATAGCTTATATACATCAAAAGAGCCCGTTTGATGTGTATGTAACGCCTAGCTTCTTGTACAACTTATAGAGTTGGAATTTTATTCTTCATTCTTGACATGTCTGATTAATATAATTAATATATTAATAAAGCATATCCTAGCCCTGGATCCATTAATCGATTGCTTCCCCATTTCCCATTGTTTCATAAGTTTTTCGATTGTTATATGGCGTACATAACTTCTTGGAGATTCAACAAAACCACCTTAGAAGTGTATTATCCATGGGTGTAGTTTTTGCTGCCGAATCTGCTTTCTCCTGTCTACAAATCGCTGGGTGTGCTTTAACTTTCCTAATTTTAATTTTTCTTTTAGTTCCGTTTAACTGAGCACAACTTTTCTCTGATATCAGTGAGCATGGAAATCCGCAGCGGGAATTTTCTCAAGAGAGTTCAACAAATATGGGTCCTCAAGGCGCAGAGTTTATTCTAAACGCCAGGAAACGGCGCTGCTGATAGCTAATAGTTCCGCCTGATTATTTGCTAATAGTTCCTCCTAATTGTTCTCACACCAGCTGCCAAGCTTTATTGCAATATTTTCTTTTATTTTTTGTTGTTGCTTATTGAATATTATTTTAGCTCTTCTTCAATAATGCAGCCGTTTGTGAAGATGTGAAAGTTGAGTTTCGCTGCATTACCACTTATTCCCCAGTGAACCTTTGCCGTTTGTGCTAGCATATTAGTCAATTGATGAGCTTTATCACGTACTTTATTTAAAAATGAACCAACTTGTCAAATCATTCCCAGATACCTGAGTTTCCTGGTTATTTTCATGTTTGTGAGACACCTAATTTGTCTCTCAGGTCCAGGAGCCCATAATGACCCACAGATTCTAAGAGTACCAACACCTGAGACACCCACGAGGCCCATGGTGGTTGGGTGGTTAGGGCGTCCGACTCCTATTTGCCATATTAGCGGGCCTAGGTTTCTAATCCCGCCTAGCCCTTGGCTTTTTAATTAAAAATAGTTTGAAAGAAGTAATGTAAAACGGTTTGTCCCCTCGCCCACGACACCCAACGTATGGTGTCAAGCCATCCTATATAACAGGAATTACTTTACTTCACAACCTCCGAATATCCGCAACTTACCAGATCAGGGTTGTCGTCAATAGTATCTCCAATATGGTAAATAGTGGCGTAGAGTCGTCTGGAATTTTCATAGTCTCCAATTCGTTAAATTATGTTTAACGATCAACTCCACTCGACAGTTACTTAAATGTCCCCACCCTGCCTGGTGGTATATTTATCACAAATGGTTCGGGATTTTGTAAATTAGTCTTAATTTCATTCAGAGTAGTTTTAAAGGCTAGTCATACGCCTCCAATACAATATTATTTGGCTATTGATCTTGTTTGTACAGTCCGCCCTCCTCTCACTCTCTTCCATCCCTCTATTCACTGTATCAGGCAATTCTCTTGAACCTTCTTATGTTTAATTCCGTTCTCTTACCCTCTTTCCTTTATTTTTTACCTTTTACCTTATCCCTATCCCTTCTTTTTTTCACCCTATTCCATCCCTTTGTTCCTATCGTTTCTCCCCTCGCCTGTTACGAGGTATTCACGGTATTTGAACAATTTTTAACCTTAATTCCCGTTCTCCTCCTTTATACTTTCCCTTCCGTCCCTTCATTTTCTAGTTTTCTCTCTCACCTCGCCTTTTACAAGTTGTTCTCGGTATTGGAACAATTTTTAACCTTAATTCCGTTTCTCTACCTTTATACTTTCCCTTCCGTCCCTTCATTTTCTACTTTTCTCTCTCACCTCGCATGTCACGAGGCGTTCTAGGTATTTGAACAATTTTTAACCTTTATTTCCATTCTCTTCCTTTATTCTTTCCCTTCCATCCCTTTATTTTTCTAGTTTTCTCTTTCACCTCGCCTTTTACAAGTTGTTCTCGGTATTTGAACAATTTTTAACCTTAATTCCCATTCTCTTCCTTTGTCCTTCCATCCCTTTATTCTTCTAGTTTTCTCTCTCAACTCGCTTGTTACGAGGTGTTCTTGGTATCTGAACAATTTTTAACAAAAATTCTCATTCTCTTCTTTTATATTCTACTCTCTCTTCCATCCCTTCGTCTTTCTAGTTTTCTCTTCTACCCTCCACTGTCGTCAAAGTATTCCTCTCTTCTCCCACCATTCGTATTCATTCTTCTTATGATTTGTGTGGTACCGTTTCTATTTTCAACTAGCCCCATCCCTTTCACCGCTTCCCATCTCTTTCCAATTTCTTGCTGGCCGGCCAGCAAATTGACTCCGCGGTTCTTCGGGAAATGGCCGATTTCTACCATCTGTTCAACAAAAGCGAGATGTTACGGATCGTAGATAGAACTACGGGCGTTAAAATACTTTTGACTTTGAATTTCGAACACTAGAAAAGAAATCGCGAGATCTGTGAGTTGTACTTTGGCTCAGACCAAATTAGCCTGAGAAACGATCACAGGTTTAAAAAATCAGCTGATAATTGTCTAATAATTATTATCAGACAATACCCAAGAACCTTATATTAAAAGTACATATATACAACTTAAAATAGATTAAAAAGATAAGTGCGTCACTTTTTTTCAAATTTAATTAATTAAGTTGAAGAGTGTGAACCTCTAAAGCTTATTTAAAATAACGATTTTTAACGCCATACCCTGGTCAAATAGAATGCTTCCATGGGTAATTTTGCAATGGAAATTGTAAGGAAGTGGCTTTATTTTTTATAAATTTGCATCAATTATTATCACCAGATCACTATTGTGAATAATAAATATAAATTTATTTTGCTTAAACTGCGTTTTTGTTTGAGATTGATTGAATTTCATAGAAAAAATAGAATTAAATCTTTGAAAAGAATTCAGTTTTGTTTAATTGTTGAATTTTTTGCCTGGATGATTTTTGTAGTCAGTCATGATCTCTGACAGTCTTGTCGAATTGGTTTGCAGAGCAGACACACTTTTTAAAAAGGGACATGAACACATCCGAAATGGAGGAAATAGGAAGGACATCTAAGAAACTAAAGTTTTCCGCGAGCGAAAGCGATGTCGAGAAAATGGACGTAGACGAGATCATCACGAACGGCTACGTTGAACAAACGTGCAACGGTTCGGCGACAAAAGAGGAAATCGAAAGTGCCAGGCCCAAAACAGACAAGCTGCTCAACGGTGACACGCCAAACAATAAGAAGAGTCTACGAGAAGAGGCTTTGTACTTAAAAGAACAACTCAAAAGAGGAGAAGAAATAACTATAAATCAGGAAGTGAGCTTGAAGTGAAAAAATATAAAAATAATATTGTATTATTTTAATACAATAAATTTCAAAATTTCAGCTCTTGGAAGAAGTTATTATGATCAAAGTCACAGAGTATTTGGCTGATTCGGGAACCACAGGGCAAATGAGGGTCAGCGTACAGCATATCGAAGATGAACTGGAAAGGCTGAAAAAACAAGTCGTGATGTACAGAAAACAGGTAATTTTGCTTATAATCGGTAAGAAAATTAAAAATTGCCTAATCGCTTCTAACCAGTTGAAAAATTTTAGTATGAAGATGCAAAGAGGGTTATAAAGAAATTAGTAGACGATAAAAAAGCTTGTAAAGAATATACAAACTCAGTCGCTCCTGCAAAAGTGACACGATCCGTTGGCCTGCAAGTCTGCACAATTGGAAGGGTGAGTTTCTTCATTTTATGAATTTATTTTATTTTATCTGTACATTATGTTTTTAATTTAGAGGTCAGTGCATAATTTGAACATAAATACTATGGCGGAAAGGCGACAGGAAGAACCAACCAAGCCTTCGACGCCTCCTTCGACAAGCAGCATGCAGCCAGTTCAGTTTGCAATGCCAGCACCACCACCCCCAGAGCCTGTACCATCGACAAGCGGTATCAAAACCATAGCGCCGTCTACCAGTGGGGTGAAACCACCGATAAGGCAGAACGCAAAGAAGACGACAACAGGGATACCGAGACTGGGCGAACAAAGGAAGATGGCGCCTCCGCCCGTTGCAAATGACACGGTGCCCATCGTCTCACCCGTTAAACCTCCATCGAATGAAGTCATCGATCTCACCGATAAAGATGATATCCAAGAAGGTACAACACGAAGAATATAAAACGTAATAAAAATTAAAGTTACCGCTGGTTTATTTCGCTTCTTAGGCGTTGAAAAACAAATAAATTACAATAAAAAAAACTGCATATAAATTAAAATTAAACATTTTTTTATCAAGATTGATGAATATTTTTGTTTTTAGATGCCAAGAAGAAGCAGATTGGAACAAATGTAGTTCAAGTTAATTCCTGCCAGGTATTTTATTTAAATTTTAATTAAAAGTTAAAAAATGATTTATGAAATAAATGTATTATTTCATTAGATACAAATTATGAATTCAAACGGGGAGTATTCTTCGCAAACAAATAACGCAGATAATGGTCAGTTTACTATTATTATTTATATATATATATCTCTTTTTTTCTTCTTATAAATTGGCTTTATTGACGTTTGCAAATTTTCCAGGCACTGTAATGATCAAAACAACCAATCTTATAAAACAGATCTCAACGGCCGCCGACACTGACATCATACCTTTACCATCTGTAAGATGTTTATTTTTATTAATAAGCTAAAGTTAAGTTTATTAAATATAAAGTTTCATTTTTTTTTTCTTCTTAAAGCCATATCCAGCACTGCCAGTGGCATTTTATTCTGAAAACGTTCCCCGTCCGCCTAGGCCATTGTTGAGGATAAGTCAGACACCTGGAAACCCCCCAGGGAAATGTACGTTTTTATTTTATTTTTTTAAGCCGATCGCTTTTATTATTTATTTATTTTTATTAATCCCCAGCTGGTATCATGCTGTCGTGGAACTTCAGCAGTGACGACCATCCATCACCGCCAATATCCAAATACCAGGTCTACGCTTACCAGGAGGGCGGTGAAGACGGGAGTAAAGATAATTGGAAAAAAGTCGGCGACGTCGACGCCCTTCCTCTTCCCATGGCATGCACACTTACCCAAGTAAATAAAACCCATTATATTAATAATAATGAAAAACCTTTTAAATATTGTTTTTAACATTTTAATTTTTTAAAGTTCAAGGATGGTTTTAAATACTATTTCGCCGTCAGGGCGATAGACAAAAACATGACGAAAGGGGAGTTCAGCCTGCCGAGTAGCATAAGACTGCACCCGCTTAAAAGGATAAGCATGAATGGGACAAAATAATTTTTCCTTTTCATTTTTTTACAAATTTTATTAATTAGATTATGTACAAAACAAACAAAAAACAATTGTAAATAAATCTTAAAGAATGTACAAAGTGTATAAAAAGATAAACCAAAACAAAAAAGATGTAATGTTAAAATTTTAATCTAAAATTAAACTATCTATAAATAAAAAGTGAATTTTGTATAAAGTATATTGTAATTGTTGTATAAAAAGGTACTTTGTATACTGATCCATTGCTGAAGACGACATCATATTCTTTAAATTGAATACCTTTAATTTTTTCCCATTTTTTAGAACTATCAAGATAATCAGCAAAGGTTCAGGTTTGGTTTTCAGCTTTACTAACATTAAACAGTCTTTATCCAACTTATATTTATAGTTTAAAATTTAAAATCGCTTATTCACGATACAGCGTCAATATGATGTACTGCTTTTGGCTTGCCGAGTGGGTCACTGCATAACCCAGCAAGAATTCCAACTGGTTCACAACGTACATGACGGCATTGTAAGCAACTACGGCGTCTTTGGTGAATTCGACCCTCAGACCCGAGCAGCTCAATTGTTCCACCTCCGCCAGCGGCAGCCCATAGATACGTGTGTTCGCTATGCCTAGTGTACCTGAAAAAAAAAAAATGAGAATTTTCTAATTAAGTTCGAACTTAAGGACAAGGATTACCACGGATGAACACATAAGGCATGTTGTTGATACGCTGGCCTGGCCTGTCCACTCCGTTCCTTAAAAATCATGACAATATATTTTTGTTTTAGACATTTTCTAAATATAATTTTGGAACAATTGTGTAAAGACAAAACATTTTCACATAAAGGACCACGTATGTACTACGGTTTATCATTCATCTGAATTATCTTTAACTTAAATTTGTTGCATAAGATCACCCAAATGTAATTAAATATTTCAGTCCAACTGAACTGTGCATCTGAAAAAAGACAGGTATTAAATGATCAGGGATGAACAAATTGTGAGTTTGAAACAGTGAAAAAGGTTTTTTTTTTTAACACATTCAACAATGCAAATGAGAGTTTAAAACAAACCTTATGTTTATAGTACTTTTTTCTAATGATATGGAAAGTTTCCAACGCCAAGGGCGATCATGTCCTTTTGCATGACCCACAAAGTGACTTCCGGGCTGTGCGTATGGCCGGCGGAGTTGGAACTTGATACAACCTTATAGCCGAAGCGGAACTCAAGCTCGTTAATGACGACTTCAACCGAGTTGTTAAAGATGATTTCGTTCAAATCCTCAGACTTGACGCCGCGCCTCAGACTCTGGGACAACTCATCAGCCTCGGCCCTGGGTAACTCGTTGATTTGAGTGTAGTTACTGCCTAAGTTGCCTCTCACGGTGATATAAGGCATCTAGGGACAGATTTTCAAAAATGTATAAAAACTTTTTTTTTAAATACATCATCCTAGATCATAAAACACATCACCATTTTGTCCCTCAATCAACAATCTTAGAATAGTTATAATTATAAAAGAAATATTTTTGTTTAAGAAAATCATTCAGAGCAATCAGCATTGAAGTACAACCTGCTTATAACCCTGACATTGCATCAACAGTTACGTACTCTTCTTGTTCCACAACAAAAATGACCTTATTTCTATAGAATATTAGTTTTACTTATTGTACTGCCCCAACCTGCTTATTACCTGACATGGGATCAGTTTATAAGTATTTTTATTGTTTCATGCCAGAAACGACCTTTCCATATAATGAAATTGGTTTGATTTATTTAGATTGTACTACCTTGACTTATAACCCTGACATCACATTAACATTTTACAGGATATTCTTCTTGTCCACAACAAAAATGACATTTTCATAATTTTTTTTACATTTTACTGCCTTGACCTGCTTATAACCCTAATGCATCACCAGTTTATAGTGACTTTGTCTTGTTTCAAGGAAGAAACAACTTTTTTAAATTGAATATAATTAGTTTTACTTATTTACATTGTACTGCCTCAACACACTTATATCCCTGACTCAGTTTATAAGGATTTTTCCATGCCAGAAACGACTTTTTCATTTAATAAAAATTGGTTTGACTTATTTAGATTGTACTATCGTGGCCTACTTATACCCTGACATCGTATAACGTTTTATAGGATATTCTTCTTGTTGCACCTCAAAACTGACCTTATTTTCACAGATTTTTTTACACTACTGCCACAGCCCGCTTATTTCCTTGACATCATATCAGTTTATAAGTGTATTTATTTTTATTTTTCTATATCAGAAATAACCTTTTCATTGCATAAAAATTGGTTTGACCTGCTTAAATTATACTACCTTGACTGACTTACACCCTGACATCCTATTAACATTTTACAGCTTATTCTTCTTGTTCCACCTAAAAAAATAACCTTTATTTTCATATCCCGCTCGTGACACTGACTTTTTTATCTCAACTAAAAGCCTTAATTAATTAAAATATATTAATTACGAAAACTAGTGAATTTAGTAAGTTAAAATGAAGTATACCTTCCCTAAAGCTCTCCGTAGCCATTTCATTTGTCGCCGAGAATCAAATAGATTTGAAAAATGGCAAAAAGGGGGAAAATTTAAGAGGTGAGGTTGAGATGGGAAGTTAGTGGATCGAGGTCACGATAGCTCAAGTGGTAGAGCACCGGCGTATCTAGCGCCTAGTGGGTTTGAATCCCGCTCGTGACAATGACTTTTTTATCTCAACTAAAAACCTTAATTTATTTAGAAATAGTGAGAATGTTTCAGAAAAACATTTTCTTTATCGTGCCAATGAATGGCATAATTACACAGAAGACAACCGCTTTGAGTAAGTAGAAATACTTGCATTGAATACATAAAAAATTATTTTGCATTGTATAAATTCACTTTTCCACATCCAAAATGTAATTGTTATATGTAAACAATGTTGGTAAATCCCAGGCCCTGAAGATGATCTCAATAAAGATCGAAACGTTGGTACGATAAAGAAAATGTTTTTCTGATACCTACATCACACCAGACCACATCTCACGATTTCTAAATAAATATTGATTAACAGTCACTAATCACCACACATAAAAACCCTTATTAATTGAAAAATATTACTTGGCCAAACGGACCACGAAAACTAGTGAACTTATTTTCTTAACTTAACCCGTTTATAACCCTGACATCACATCAGCCATTTGGTAACGGCCCAGTAAATAATATTTACCGCGAGAGAAAATTTCCATTTAAATATAAAATTCGGCACATGACTTAGTTGAGGTGTCTATGCTCGACTTTGCGCTATTTTCAGTCAGCACCCATAGTGCGGTTCACCGACTTGCAGACCAACAGTCATCAATTTTAAAATTATTTTAACTGCTTTAACCCAATCTCACCCTTATTCCCAAACAGACCTTAACATAACACCAATGACTTTGAAATCCAGGTTCTTCATCAACTGGCAACTTCCAGAGCTTAAACTTGTACCTTAATTTGACAAAATTTACAAGAATCCAGCCAATACTTCTATCTGTAGGATAACTTTGATCGAAGAATGCCTCATATTCATGTGGATACCAGGACATTGTGGTAGTGAACTTGCTGACTGAGCAGCAAAATGAGAAATTTGAACCATAATAGTTAAACAATGCCCCTTCACCGTTCGATCATCAATTAAGTTGGGAAGCCTAAGAATAGGGCAGTGTAGGCTTACTACTGATCCCTCATGAAATCTCCGATCTGACAAAGCTGTCAGGGACGTTGACAAACAAGCACATCCTAACTGAATACTTTTGATTTCAGCTGAAGAATTAATATGATATATCACTAAGTTTGGATCAAATATGGCCACAAAATTGGGCAAAAAACTTCTTGAATGCTGAGTTTAAGCCTCAGACAAGCCTTGAAGAATGAGGATGGACTCTGTAAGTAATTATATTGAAAATATTGAAGTAATAAAATACGAACCATAGAATTTTGAATGTTCCATGAAACAATGGATTGTTTTTTTCTTCTTTTCCTGAAATAATTATCTGTTGGAGCGGTTCTTCACTGATAACCTCTAGTCCTGTTATAACCTTAACGGGTATAATCTGGCGAAAAGTACCTATCGATTTTTTTGTACTATTCAAAAAAATACTAGTTTCAAATTTATTTGTTATTTAATTTAATTGATTAATTGAAGGATTTATTAGAAATACGAGGGAAGCCTAAATTATTATTTATTTCACTGATAAGTCTAAGAGGGAAGGTACAATTCAGTCAGGTATCTCTATTAAATTATCAATTTTTTTGTCGTGATTTTTTTTTTAATATTCAGATTTATTGGCAAGATAATGTTGAAAGATCAGTTTTAATTGTATCAACATTCATAATTAGAGTAGGCTGTTGGTCGATATAATAGAAAAAATGAATTTTGCGAAGAAGGTAGTTCTTATAACAGGAGCTTCTTCTGGAATAGGCGCGGCGACCGCTGTGAAGTTCAGCAGGCTGGGCGGCCTGCTCGCCCTGACAGGGAGGAACGAGAAGAACTTGGCGAAAGTCGCCGACAAGTGCAAGGAGGCGTCCGGCTGCCGGCCTTTCGTTGTGGCAGGCTCTCTCGACTCCGAAAAAGACACCGAGAGGATTTTCTCATCCACTATGAAGTGCTACGACAAGCTAGACGTACTCGTCAATAACGCAGGGATAGTTGAGCTTGGCAGCATCGAGAATACATCGCTCGAACAGTATGACAGGGTTTTCAGGACGAACGTCAGGTCGATGTACCACCTGACCATGCTATCCGTACCACAACTAGTCAAGACAAAAGGTAACATTGTAAACGTCTCAAGCGTCAATGGTTTGAGATCGTTCGCAGGAGTCCTTGCTTATAATATGTCGAAATCGGCTGTCGATCAGTTCACAAGGTGTGTCGCTTTAGAACTAGCACCGAAGGGAGTACGCGTCAACTCGGTCAACCCCGGCGTCGTAGTGACAGAACTGCAAAAGCGAGGAGGTCTAGATGAAGAACAATATAAAAAATTCTTAGAAAGGTCTAAAGAGACGCACGCATTGGGACGGCCAGGCCAACCGGATGAAGTTGCTGATGGGATAGTATTCCTGGCAAGCGATCAGGCGAGTTTTATCACTGCGACACATCTGTCAATTGATGGAGGAAGACACGCCTTATGCCCAAGATAATAATAATAATAAACAATCCACATAAAATAAGATTATTTTGTCTATATTTAAGCTATTGTAATAAACATACTTATTATTCTCTTTATTTTTTTTTTTAATAGAAATTATAAATTGTCGGAACCATCATGATCAATCCTGGATAGTTGTGTTATGGATGCTTTTACCTTTTTTCTTTCTCTTCTGCTGCTTGTAAGCTCTTATTGTACTTTTTACTAGGCGATCGTCAGAGTGTGTTGAACTGGCATATTAGCCTCGTCATCATTTTGTTTTGCCTTTTTCTAAGATTTTTCATTAATGATCTCCATGATCAATATAAGGACACACGGGAAATGATATATGAACATATATTAAAACAAATAAAATAGTTTATAACAAAACATGAAAAAAATTAATAATAATATATATTTATTTAAATTTCAACTAGTTTTGAAAGATAAAATAAATAAAAAAGTGCACATTAAAAAAAAAGTAAAATAAATGACTAAATTGAATGAAATTAATGACTAATAAAGTTTTAATTTATATTTTATTAAAATAATGAATTTAAAAAAATCAAAAAAAAAATTTCATTCGATCTTATCAGGGGTTTGTACAAGGGCGTCGATTTGTTCATTCAGTTCCAGGTTCCTCCAGCTGGCGTGGAAGTCATCCAGGTGGTTGTCGAAGTCAACGAGTTGCTTGTCAGCCTGTCGGTGGAGCAGGCTCGCTGCCACCCTCCTGCACTCGTCATCGACGACGTAACTGAAAATTGTTCATATGTATATATATATATTTTTTTTAAATATATATTTTAAAAACCTACCTGCTTTGGTCCATATACTCCCATTTTCCTTCGGGGCAGTTAAGCAGCACAAGCGCAGGCTCTTCAACGGTGAGCGTCAGCTTCCGCTGATCGATCTGAACCATTAAACAATTATTTTACTTTAAGCTTAATTGATGTAGTATTAATGGATGTTCTTGGTATAAACTGAGCATCCAATGTTTAAAAGTCAACCACTTACTATTGCGACATACGATGGTGGGTATATGTCGTTGATTTTGTCGGCAACTTTTGTCGCTGGTTTCTCTAAGCTGAAACACCCACAAGCACCAATGAATAAATTGTACACAAATATAATTTATAATTTTTATCATTATGAATAAAGTTTTTATGATTAGCCTTAAATTTGTCAAACATTACATTAAATCACCATTTTTAACTAACTCATGTTTTTTTTTTCCAGTTGACTGTGAGTTTAATGCATATGTATACTCATCGACATGATGTTTTTATTTAAAATAAGGGACAGAAATATTCAAGTGGAGATGCCTATAGCTCTCTATAAGGAACCAAGGTATGAAACTTAAACTTTAAATATTAATGTAAAAATTCAACCATGCCACTTGAGACGATGAACAAATCGACAAGCAATGGGACACTTTGGAGTTACAGTGTTAGCAATTTTACCATTAATAGGCCTACTAGCTCTCTATAAAGAGCCAATATTTGTAATTAAACTTCAAATATCCCAGTTGAGACAACGAAAAATAACAAGCGACAGAACAGCATTCACAATTTGACAGCTGTTGATTACTAGTCAAAATCCCTTCCTTCTTTCCTCGTGCATACGTCGAAAGTGTTTCGACTTGGACATTGTATTTTTAATACATTAAATCAACTGTCTAAAAGATGAACGATAACACTTGATAATATTATGAAAAATCAGCATTGTAGCAGTTTTTCAGTAAATACACAAGATGGTTACATTTTTCCGTGCCTGAAGGGTCATGAAGTTCAACACTGGGAAGGCGAACAGTCCAAACAACTAGATCATGCTTAAATATGTGGCTTTTCAGGGCAACTGGCAGAAATAACTCAATGAATTTAAAAATTTCCCTGCTATTCTCAGGTCGCTCAGGTATAGCAGTACAGATTGAGCAGATTCAACCGATATGAAATGGACACTGAACAACACGGACGCCGAGATGACATCTTTTGTTAACCATGAACATGGACAACCAAGGACATAAACCTTGTGATCCTGACGCTCGGTGAGTTGAGAATATGTAATAATTCATCTTAGATGGTCGGTGATGATTGAAGTACAAATCATACATTTTCAAAATAAAATAAAATTACCTCATGTCATGCAAGCTTTCGTTAGCCGTGTAATAACCTGCCATTCTCTGGCCAAGGGCTTTTGACACGGTGTCGACCTGAAAAACAAGATTTTTGGATCAATTTTTTAAATAATAATAATTATTATTATTTTACCTGAGTGAGGGCGAGCTCTGCCATAGGCGTTAAATGGAGGCAAAGGTGGAAAAGCGGCACAACGTCAACTATAACGAGGGGCTTGGATTTCGACTCCTTCACGTCCGCGTCCGCCAGCATTATTCCGTTGATGGCACAATGCGGGTATTTGGCCGCATGCAGTATTATCTTGCAGTAGGCCCTCGGCGTGAACCGGACCTCAGTCATTTCAAGGCAGTGAGACAAAAATTAATTAATTAAAATACACGGCCCTAAATAAATCGAAAAAACTGATTAATCAGGGAGTGTCGGGTCGCGGATGTAAAAACACGCCGAAATGGGGAGGTTAAGTCGCATGTCGACCCATTGTGACGTCATACTTTTTCCTGACGTCATTTAAACTATCAAACGATATTTTTCATTATTATATCTATTATTTATTTTAAAGGTACAAATAAGGCTTTATACTCCCTTACATGTACTTACATTAGAAATAAATTAAGTTTATAAACAATAAAATAATAACAACAGCAATAATAATAATAAAACATATAATAAAATAATCCATTTATGTTTAGTGGTCTAATTGACCATATTAATTATTTCAATTAATTATTCTTTTTATCTAAGGTCTTGGTTGAGATGAAAAAGCTAATGTCATGAGCGGGATTCGAACCCACAACTCAATACCCCGCTAATCTAACAACTTGAGCTATCGTGACTTCAATCCACTCGGATACCAACTCTCCATTTTATCCTACAATCTTTCCCATTTTACCTCTTTTTGCCAATTTTCACATTCATTTTGGTTTTAGGTTGAGATGGGGAGTTGGTATCCGAGTGGATCGAAGTCACGATAGCTCCATTGGTTAGAACAGCGGCGTATTGTTCCAAAGGTCGTGGGTTCGAATCCCACTTTTTCATTTCAACTAAGACCTTACATCAAAAGAATAATGAATATGGTCAATTAGACCACTAAACATAAGTGTATTATTATAGTAAGTAAAGAAAGTAATACATTCACTAACAACTCGCCGTGACCATTTTCATAAGTCATTAAGAATGGAATCCTGTTTACACGACACTTGAAAAATGGCAGAAACAGGTAAATGTGAAAGGTAGTAGGTTGAGATAGAAGGAAAGTTCTTACATAAATAAAAAGTCAAAATAGACAATACCTTACAAAGCAAAAAACAACAGCCCTTTTAAAAGGTTTTAAACAAAAACAGCAATCCAGGAGTAAAATATGACCATCTCCGTCCTAAACAAAAAGGAACAAAACACCCAGTTTTGTCACAACCAAAAATGAAATAATTACCAAAATCAACGTGAGTTTTTTAAAAATGATTTTATTGTTTGGTGATTACCTATCATCTTGATTTGCCTATCCTCGCAAATTTTGTTAGTCAAACATGTTTCGGCATCTTCAGTGTTTGGGTGATTTCTGTAAAGTTCTAGTTACATCTCTAATGAACAAAAATCCAAAAAAGCCTAGCAACAGCTTAAAATGTCTGGGGATATTGCTAGGAGAAATACGCAACCAGACATCCCCAAAATAAGAGGCAATGCAGTGCACTTTCACCAAACTGAGCATAATGGCAAGATCGAGGATTGGTATTGAGCTCAAAAGCCCTTGGGACACTGTATACAAATTTAACTTAATGATGTGCAGCCAAAGCAGAGAAGTAAAAGCAAAAAACTGTAACGGTCAGAGGATAACTACTAAAATACATCGAAGGACATGCTGGCCCTCCATTCTGTCTAATTAGCCAAGTCGAGGCAAAGATGCAATCATTAGGTAGAGCATAAGTTCCAAATACCCTGTAAAATCTGGAAGACAAAACAGATCAACATTTGATCGCAGTCTTGCAGATCCAATATCCATAATGCCAAAATTCTGAAATGACAATATGGGGGATGGAAAGACTTGGTTGTTCTATGCAAAATATACAGTCAAGTACACAAAAAAAAGAAAAACTTTTTTTAAACATTTAAACCCAAATCATTTTCAGAGTTACAGCGAGCTACTTCATAGGACAAGGCACACCTCAGACCAAGAGGTTAAAAAAGGATGCCCACAAGGGTTTGTCTTAGGCCCAGTATTTTTATTCCTAACTATTGTAAATAACTATTGTTATATAAACTAAATAACTATTGTAAATTATGATAAATTTAGAAACTCAGAAATCTTATAGTGATGAGTCACCAAGTCAATGAGTGAACCCTTGTGATATCTGTGGTGATTTCCTAGCGTTCCTGTCCAGCAGGATTGATATTAATGTCATGTCGTGTGAATAAACAGCAAATGATCATAAATTGAAAATAACTTTTATTTACACAATAAGAGAATTGAAAATAAGTCATTTGGTTTTATCTTCTTTGACTTCTGGTTTAGATTCTTCCTCAATTTTGTTTTCATCTTCAGCTTCTTCTTCATCTGATGATCCATCACTGTTTAACTTTCCTAAAAATAAAAAATATGATATACTCAATTAAATTTGTGTGTAGGTTTCTTCCCTGAAACCCTTTTCCAGTTTTGTTCACTTCCTTTGGTGCGGGTCTGCCGATACCCTGCTTCACCCACACATCAGGTCTAATCGTGTACCGTTAACTTGTCAGGGTTCATCACTGTTGGATGGACTCTATAGCTGGAATCATCAGACGAGTGGCTGAAAAGCTTCACTCTGTCTATATGTCCGCGGACTTATGGACAGCGAGGACTTCATAGCAGCTAGGGAAAGCTGGATGAGCATTCTCGGGAGTTGTTCAACTCCGAGAGCCTTGAGAGGTTTTTACGCTCAGTATGTACCTTCATGACCCCACTAATCAGCTGCTTGAAAGAATCATTTCTGGTGTAGTTCTGTTCCCTCAATGCCTTCTATTTGCCTTGAGGACTACGACTTGATCACCCCTGAGTCTAGTCCTCAGAAGGGAGTTTCAACAGAACAGCAATTATGACCTGAAGCCACCGATCATGGATCATGCCTCTATTATTTTTGAATGATCCTCCACAGCTCTACTCATACTGGAGTCTCCTCATCGCATCCCTCATTGAATTGGTCCACAGGCTGTGATTACCCAGAAAAGGCATCACAGAACCCCTCCACAGATCCCTTGTGCCTAACCCCTTCTGGCTGGTTGAGCCAATGGAGAGCCGAACCGCCGGGAGCAGAAGATTGGGCTATAAGCCACAATGGCATATAGGTCTCTGTTTTTTTTTTTTCCTTGGATTACAGAACACCAAGGACATCGATAATCAGGAAAATCCACCACTTCCACCTGGCTCCCAGGAAAGTAGAAAGGCTGCACATTTCTCTTCATCCCTATGCTTCAGGAAATACAGAATACGACAAGGTAGAGGGCATGTATTTGACTAGTCATGGAGATATTGGTTGCCCACCGCATCTTCGGCAAAGGTCTTCACTCAGTAACCCTTTGTTCCATGGCCAACCAATTCTCCAGCTCCCCCAATTGCACTGCATGCACCACCTGTAGTATGCCGAGTCCACTCCCCTTGCCAATTTCATTTGCGGTGCATAATGGCCACTCGGGATGAATTGGAGAATGATACATCTTGACCCACTTCCAAATGGCCCAAGCCTATCACTAGACAGCCAAGGAGTAAAAAATATATATATATTAATTAAAATTAAAATGACTTACTCTCGCAAGTTTCATCTTCAGAATCTTCCTCTTCTGAAGACTGATCACAACTTAGTTGGCCTAAACATATAAAACATATTATATTATTTTCTAGCATATTACTAAAAGATGAAACATATTGGTAAAGGCCTTACGTTTGTTTCTTGTGTCAATTCCCTCTTCGATATAAGCATTTTGCACTTGGACAACTTCCGTGCTGTTTTTACATTCCGAATACTTGTTGAGGAGTTCACCATTCAGCTCGAGGAAGTGAAGACCCCATGAAAACTTATCGAGGTATTTCTCCGCCTCTTCTTTAAAGCCTGGATGAATTTGTATGTACTTTTATAAACACGGCACAAATCGGAAAATCAATGCAGTAAGCAATATTTTGGGATGATCTGTCGACTCATCGATACCAATTAAAAATACTGCAAGTATACCTGTTATGTAAAGAAGACCTGCTATTGCTTCAACGCAAGAAAGCTTGAGAGGTTTACCGTAGTTGATACGGTTCGCTGCGACTAGGAACGGTAAAAGTCTGGGATGTTGAGTACGCATCTTTTCAAACGGTACCTCTTCAATCCTTGCCCAGGAACAGTCGACGACGGCAATCCCACCACGTAGTACAATCTCCCTATCTTCTGGCGACACGCACTGTAATTAATTTAGCCAAAGATTCCGATTTCGGTTGTAGTGTACCTTTTCTCCTATTGGGGACAGTACGACGCCACTGAACTTCTGCCCGATCTTCAAGGTCCTGATCAAGTGTAGCCTTTCGAGCTTCTTCCCCGTACACTTCTTCGGGTCGCAGTGCTTGAAATCCCACATGGCGACTTGAAAACTGCAGACTGAAAGAAACTTTTGTGATTGTCGAGACGTTTGATACCTCATGAATACCTCTGGACTCGTTAAGCGACATCCCTTCGAAAGAGTTATAAACGCCGTCCAACCTCTTCCTTTCCCTGCCTTGTTTAAAACGTTTCTTATGCGACATTTCGAGTCAAATTTGCACTAATATTAATTAAATTAATTACTTTATCAAGATTACTGTAAATACACACAAAGCATGACTCTTCAAGGAGGTTACAGACCTGTTATTCATTTATTAGTTCAAAAGGTAAGCAGCCTCAAAACAGAATAGTCAAAATATAATAACAATAATAATAGATAGTGAAGACTTGATAGGTTTTACTATATTTTGATTGCAATCCATAGAAAAAATGATATAAAATTATGTATTCACATTTCTTTGGAGCAAGTAGAACGGCAAAATAAAAATATTAAAAAACGGTAAATTTCAACTTTCAATTTTTTTGGCGAAACCAGGGCCATTCACAAGTGGAGGAATACGTGTCCGATATTTTGGATTGTAGAATCGCCAAAAAAAGTTTGGTCCAAATCAGTTATACATCAACTTGGTCGTCCCCTTGTAATTAAGTCTTAAAGCTGTAACTGTAACAAACACTAAAATCGGACAATTATTTCCATTTAAAAAAAAAAACGAGGTTAATTTTTGACAAATAATTTTCCTATAATGTGTATTTTCTTATAGAAATCTTTTAAATGTATTAAACACTAAAATCAGACAATTAGTTGCATTAAAAAAAACGAGGTTAATTTTTGACAAATAATTTTCCTATAATGTGTATTTTCTTATAGCAATCTATTACATATTTTTATGACGCTTGAAAAGCTTCCTTCCTCTTTTTTCAAATAGTATGTTTGAAGTTAAAATCATTATAGCCATTTTTGAATTATAGCCGTTTCAATAAAATATTCCGATAACGACTTCATAAAAATCCGAAAAATTTTAAGGGGAAAAAATAGTTAAATTTAAATTCAAACAAAAATTTATATTTAGGGGTCTTCAGAGGTGCTAAAACGAAATTTCATATTAGTTTAAAGGTAAAAAAAAATATGACCTAGTTTACATGAAAAAAGAATTTTTTTTTAATTTTTTGGTTTATTGATAAACATTGATTGCCTTTGCTAAATTTTTATTGTAAACTACATAAAAAATGCTGTATAAATGATAAGGCGAAATAAAAATATTAAAAAATGGGAAATTTCAATTTTCAGTTGCTTTTTTTTTTTTTTTTTGCGAAACCAGGGCAAATTCACAATAAGTGGCGGATAGGTATCCGATATTTTGGAGAGTAGAACTGACAAAAAAAAAAAAAAAAAAAATAGTACAAATCCGCGACCCACCAGCCCGGTCGTCCCATTGTGAAATTTTAATTACTGAAGAAGACAGAGTTAAGAAATAAAGACGTTTTGGTCATCAGACCATTAAAATTTTGGTAATAATTAAGAGACAGAATGGTGTCAAAATGATCCATGAGGCCGTGTCAAAGGCGGGCGACGAGGGTAATTACGTCCTATGGCCACTGTGACAAAGCCCGGCCGGGAGCAGGTCGTTTTTTTTAATTAATAATTTGTCGAGGGTAGTGAACAATAATTACCAGGCAAATTAGTACGATTTAATGAATTATTAGCAATAAAGAAGTCAAAAATAATGGGAGACGCTAAATTGACGTAAATATTTCGTAATAAAACACTAATTTTATATTATAAAATAAATCTTCCCAGTCTAGTGAAGAAAGGAATTATTGCCTCTTTCAACCTAAATTTTAACCTGTTTATTAAATCGAAGTTAACAAATTTACAATTATTAAATTCATTAAACTTAATTTTACTTACCTCAATTTGTTTCAACATTTTATAAATAATAATTAATATAAATCAACGAGTTTTTCGAGGTTCGGTGTACTTTTGTGGTGGAACTCCATTATCAAACGTTGAATATCAATAATGAAACGAAATAAAAGTACTAAAACAAAATAAATAATAAAAAATATAATATTAATTAATAATAAATAAAAAATAACTATCAGAAGATTGAGCATAATAAATGAATTGCAAAGGATTTGTAATGCTGTTATTTGCTCTGATTCGAAGAGTGGTCTCGAAGCTATCAAAAACAAATTTTCGGTTGACCCATATATCTTAAGCGCTATTTACATCGCGTCACTTTTGTTGAACATCCGAAGTGAATCATCCTTGATTACATATTTTCATCCAGTTATGTGTTTTCACCACTCAGTGTTCCTCATTTCGCGTCTTTCTTCCCTTTTTGTGTAAAAAGTGCCAATATGCTTTGTTCGAGGAGGATCTCAAGAGTTGTGCGTACAGGCATTTACTATAATCACGACAATTGGTATTCCACAAGCACTCATACTGCTGGTATGTTTCCAGAAACATTCTTGCCACTTAAACGTCATTACAATAACATAAAACAGAAGGGAAAACTTTATAATAAAAAGGAATGTCCTCTTTAGAAGACGAGGTTCGTCTGGCAAAAAGGTGAAACCTTGGATGCGAGGGGGAACTTTTGTTTCAATTTCTCACTGCGCCTTCACTCTGGATGAATCATCGGTTGGAGGAATGGTCCCTTTGACACTTTAGATGATTCAGCCATGATGGTCTTCCAAAATGACATATGTAAACGAGCCTTTAGAAATTGATTGTGTTCCTTCCTTGGGAACTAACATTTAATAACAAAAAGAATAGGTTAGCAATACTGACTTAAAAAAAAAAAAAAAAAAAAATACCAAAGGTTTCATTGATATTCAAACTTTGATGATATAAACTATTTATTAATAATTTTTGTTCATTTTTAAGAAATATGTAATTTGAATGGCAATTTTTCATTTTCAGATTCACTTCTTCATTTTAACCTCCTGACTGAAAAACTTGGGTGAGTACAGTACCTTATAAATAAATATATGTTATAATTATAATATATTAATTGGTCAAGCGGACAAATTAGTGAATTTAAGAATGATATAATGTTAATTAATAATTCAAATGAAACAAAAATTCAGGGGGAAAAAGACCTACTCTTTGTCAGTAGACCATAGGATGTATTCTGAGCCCTATGCTCTTTTTCTCGTTTATGAACAACCTTTATAACATTTTTTGGGCTGTCTTCTCAAAGCTCTCATGTTTGCTTATTTCTTTTTATTTATGTTATTTCTGACAGACTGACCTCTCTTCAAAGAAATTTTAATGGTCTACCTTAATAAATCAAAAGTTGCAGTAGTTTGAGCCCAGTATAAAAACAGTACTTCAAGGGTCAGGAAGTGGATGCTATGAATTATTGAGTGTTTTATTGTCTCAGATGGTTTGTTGGCAATATTTTGATAGGCATCTTGCTTTTTGTTTGACTTGTGGTTTTCGCTCCGTTGCAAGTTTTTGCCCAGGGTCTCTGCTGCAAAACGTTCCTTCATACCAATCTCACAGGCTCACAAAGCCCTTATGCACAAAGCCTTTCCAAAAAGGTCCCAGAGTACAAACCCTCCAAGTTCTTGCCATCCGTTTACAATCCCAAGCTGCATATTCAATAATTAGGCAAAAATAAAATAATAAAAACAAATAACTAGGGAACTAGGAAGCACTGCCTGGGAAGTACAACCCCGCTTCATCTCTATCATCCATTATCATCAGAATTGCTCATATTTTATACTTTAATATAATAATGATCAGTAGTACATGTTTACATATCTGGTTACAAGAAAGGATTTTGGGCAATTTTTTTAAAGGAGAAAACATTAACCAAAATCAGGCGTTTGTTAAAGAGACTCATTAAAATGTAAAAATGGTTTAATATTTGAGTATTAACATTAAATCACATGTTAAGATTTAAAAAAAAGTAAAAGTAAAAAAAAAAACCATCATCTTTTTTCCTTGCTGTGAAAGGGACAATTATGTACATGATGTAGGAAATTATTTCATCGATTTAATAAAGACAAGAAATATTAACGTAAATTTATACATTTTTTTGTTTCAACACAGGTTTTTACACACTCTCTTGCCTTGGATTTAATGACTTTACACTTTGACTAATGATTTTTGAAATTCGACTATCGTATCGTTGTTATCTTGCTTTTTGACTATTGTCGGAGCGTGGTAATAGTTGTCCTTGTGGTTGATTGACCATCCAGAATACTAAAACAAAAATAAATAATTATTCAAAGAAAACAATTTCATATAAAAAAATTAACATACAACTGATGTACTCCTGTACAATATCTGCCCGCTGTCATCCTTAAAAGGTATATACTTTTGTAAAAGTGAATTCCCGTCTATTTTCCAAATCGGGTATTCTTCTTCTTTTCCTTTGAAATCGCTTTTCGATACTACGAATGATCGAGACTGGAAAGAAAATGTTACTTATAATCTGAATAATTGTACGAATTGCATCTGAATACCCTGTATTCTTTGGGAGGTTCATCTGGATTAGACTCCTCACTCGCCGAGACCTCATCTTCCTCATCTTCTTCCTCCTCGTCTAGAAGGTCTTCCTCGTCTTCGAGCTCCTCTTCGTCCAGATCGTCGTCGAATGATTCAAATTCCTCTTTACCACCCTTTTTCGTTGAAGACATTTCCTTGTCATTCAGTTCAGCAGACAAGCTGTTCCGCTTGACACCCTTATTATTGCTCTAAAAAATATTAGAACATTTACTTTAAACCAATTGAAGTTTACTGGTCTAATTGACCATATTAATTATTGAGATGAAAATGTGTGTGTGTTTGACTACTGATTTCTGACACTAGCTTTTTCATCTCAACCAAGACCTTACATAAAAAGCATAATTAATTGACATAACTAATATGGTCAATGAGACCACTAAACATAAATGGGTTAATATGTAGTAGTAAAGAAGTATCACTTCACTGACAGCTCCCTCTGGCCATTTCATAAATCACCAAGAATCGTGATTACATGACATTTGAAAAATGGCAAAAAGAGGTAAAATGCGAAAGGTTGTACGTTGAGATGAAGAGTTGGTGTCCGAGTGGATCAAGGTCAAGATAGCTCAAGTGATTAGAGCAGTGGCGTATTGAGCTGAAGGTCGTGGGTTCGAATCCCGCTCGTGACACTAACTTTTTCAACTCATCCAAGACCTTACATAAATTAACTGTAAGGTTAATTGGGTACATTTTTTTAAATTTTAAGCTATTCACAATTCTTATTGTTTGTCATATGTATGTTGTATTTCTTAATTTTAACGGATAATCTATTGAAATTTGGCATTTCATTAATGACACCGCTATTAACCATAGTTAAGATTATTTTTACATTAACGATATAAACATGGAACATCATTAATCCATTTGAAAGTTAAGGTGACATGCATTTATCATTAATGACCTCAGTTTTAACGTTCTCGATTCATTCATATACAGCTATTTATTTATCAATTCAATTTTAAATTACGTCATGAATGACATCAATTTTAACGTTATCCACACTTAATTTTTAATAATGCGGCATTTGTGTTAACGACATTCCGGTTTTATAGTTATTGACCGTTCTTCATTCACAGGTAAACCGAGAATTTAATGACGTCATGTTTAACGTTTATCGGCAATCGATTTTTGTAGTGATCGTTAGCTAATGACATACGATTTCATTCAAACGACGCTTTTGTTTACATACACGAAAACGTGTTTTGTCCATCGTGGTGAAATATGAAAAGTGCAATTTTTAATCTGTCAACAGGCACGTTTATTAAAAAAAAAGAAATATAAAAAATGATTTAAAACAAAATAGAATCTTTTCAGGGCGGTTTCACCCATCGTTAACATTCTCGCCGCCCTTGGATATTTCAAATTATTATATTATGCTAGCTGATATTAAAAAAAAATTATTTGAGAAAAACTAAATTATGTTTTCAATTTTATTTTAATTTTATTTAGAGTTCATTTAAAAACACACCAAGTATCAAGTTTTTCTGTGCAGTTGGGACATTAAAAACAACATAAATTTATCTATTCTACTTTGAACAGGCCATCTAACGTTTATTTTTATGTATTAAATCTTTGTTTGGTTGTTTTTCTTGTGTTAAAAGGCCGAAAAGCGTTTTCCTCCCGGGATTGTTTATTTCTGGCGGAAAAACAGGTTATAACTGTTTAAACATGAGGAACTTTTACTGTGTTAAATAAATCGTTAATGTTAATAATTGTAATATTGGAAAGACGATTTATTAAGACACTCACCATGGCTGAAAAATCGTTCCTGGATTAAAATAACAATCGGACGAGACAGACAAGGAGCCGAGAAGGGACAAGCGTGTGCGACTAGCGGTCTCCAGGTTCGCCGATCGGCCCGATGTCCGCCGGCTTACTGTCAAAAAAACAAAAATTTCCCCGTTTCTTTATAATTTCGCCGCCGCGTGATTGACGCTGATAAATAATAAAAGCTCAACTTTATTCTTAATTTATTTCAATTTGAATGAAGAATGGAAGTTAAGTGGTATTACATTTAAAGTAAATGACGCAATTAAATCATTACTTTCACCCGTGACGTCACGTTACATTCCTTTTCAAAGTTAAAGGACTTTCTATTTAACAAATAATGACTTCACTTTGACGTTTCTTCAACTTCATTCTTATACATACATGCAAAAATGAAAGTTTTATGCACTGATAGTACTTTAAAAAGTTAAGTGATTTAACCCTTTTAAGGTTAATAATCATGATTTAACATTCAATTTCAAAGTTGACATTTCCAACTGATAATAGTGACGTCACGCTTTGACAACCATTAAAAGTTAAGTGTCATTACATTATCGATAATGACGTCACTCCATTGTAATACACAAAGGACGTAAAGTTTAATTGTCAATAAATTTGAAAAGTTAGATTTACCGTTTTAAAGTCAATAGTTTTATTCGTCGGTGGCCGCAACGGTTTAGGCGTTGACACGGCGCTCATCACTGTAAGGTAAAGGTCCCTTACTCCTACTTATAACTGGGCTTTTTTTTCAAAAACACCGGCACCCTGAGGGTTTATGTGTCCTCTGCTGTTGTGTACCCTCGTTAAAAAAAAGTGTTATTAAGGAAAGAAAAAAATTAATAGCAAATCTCGTGACATCATGATTTAACACAATCCGTTGAAAGTTAAGTGATATTAACGATAATTAATTAAGGTTTTTAGTTGAGATAAAAATTAATAAATTGAAAGATATTAATTGGTCAAGCGGACCACGAAAACTAGTGAAATGGAAGATAATGATGTCACTTTAACTTTTCCCCCGCTCTATTATTAAACCCATATGACGTAACGTTTTATTGTTAATTAATTTGAAAAGTTAAGTGATTTACGCGTTTAAAGATAATGGCACGTCTCGTGACATCATGATTTAACAATCCATTTCCAAATTAAGAGACATTCTATTTAACAAATAATTCAATAAATAACTTTAAAGTTATCCACACTTCATTTTTATACATGTGTAAATCAAAGTTTTATCGTTTATCGCTGTTCGGTTAAAAAGTTATGTGATTAACTCTTTTAAAGCTAATAGCAAGTCTTGTGACATCATGATTTAACAATCAATTTCAAAGTTGGCATTTCTCTCTAATAATAGTGACTTCACTTTGACGTTACTCCTACTCATTATTACACTCATATGACGACACGTTTTATTGCTATTAAATTTGAAAAGTTAAGTGATTTACCATTTAACGATAATGGCACGTCTCGTGACAGCATGATTTCATTTCCATTTCAAAGATAAGGGACATCCTATGCAACAAATAATTAAATAAATAACTTTCATTTGTTCCCACTTCATTCTTAAACGCGTATACATCAAAGCTTTATGCACTGGCTGTGCCGTTAAAAAGTTAAGCGATTTAGCCCTTATGAAGTTAATAACAAGTCTTGTGACATCATGATCCAACAAGTTGATATTTATCTCTAATAATAGTGATGTCACACTTTGACAATCCATTGAAAGTTAAGTGGCATTACATTAACGATAATAACGTTATACCCATTCGATTATTATACACATATGACGTAATGTTTTATTGACAATAAATTTGAAAATTTAAGTGATTTGCCAATTTAACAATCCATTTCAAAGTTGACAGTACTCTCTAATAACAGTGAGTGGTGACGCCATGACAATCCATTGAAAGTTAAGTAACATTACATTAATGATAATGACATTGCTTTGATGTTTTTCCCCACTCTGTTATTACATACAAATGATGTAACGTTTCTTTGTCAACAAATTTGAAAAGTTAAGCGATTTACCCAGTTAACGATAATGGTACGTCTTGTGATGTTACGATCTGACAAATCCATTTCCAAGTTAAGCGACATTTACTTTTAAATATAATGGTGTCACTTCAATGTTATTCTCACTCCTTTATTATATACATAATAGTTTTTTGTGTATTGGCGATAAATTTGAAAGGTCTAGTGATTTATCCATTTAACATTAATGTCTCATAATGTGACGATTTGACAAATCCATTATATTATGTTGTTCTCACTTCATTATTATGTACGTCCTATTCCTAATTTGACATTGATGTCACGAATATCATTTTATATGCATGACATTTTAGGACAACCTTTGTTTCAGTTATGGGAAGGGGGAGAAATGATTAGACGAACAGTAATTTTTAAAAAAATTTACTAATTTTTCTCTCGCCTCATTCCAAATGCAACTTCTGATTTTTGTTCCAAAATGATATACACACTAAAAAGGTTTATATTTAAGTAAAGTTTATATTTCTCTTAAAAGAGTAACAAAATAAATAAAATTTAAAATATATTTGGGCACAATTAAAAAAAATTGTGATCAGACTTATTAAAAAAAGTTTTTGCACAATTTTTTTTTTAAGATAATAAATCTTTGACAATAATAATATTTAATTTATGTTATTTAAATAAAAATTAAAACCATATTTTGTACTCTAAAACTGTAAATTGACAGTTTGACATACATAAAATAAAAATAATAAATTCAACTAGATCTAAAAGATAACACAAGACTATACTCTGGACTGGAGTAGGTAAAGTAATTGTGTTATTAAATTTTAATGGATAATTTTTTCCCCTTAGATTCCACATACACAAAGAAGGAATAGTCCTGTGTTGTCAATATTAATTTTATATTAAACTTAAAAAAAAGAAGAAAAATCATTTAAAATTGGAAAACGTCACACTTCAGTTGTCATTTTCCTCTTCTTCTTTCTCAACCTTTGACTCAGTTGCCTTGAGTTTTTTCAACTGCCTGTAATCAAGGGATGAACATTTATATACAAACACATATACAAAAGTATGTTGTATGGTTTACAAACTGACTCAAGTTGGTTTGCTGAGAACTTGACGTATGTGCCATTGCAGCTGTCGTTTTTCTCAAACTCAACTTTTATCGGGTAATATGTGTCCATGACGGATTTCGACCACCCAGCATACTGGAAAACATAAGACAATTAGAATTCACTCAAGGGTTAATACAAGGTTTTAATACATACCGTAGTTGTACTTTTGTAATAAACTTCGTCATCTTTCATCGTCTTGTCGTACTTCTGCAATAATGATTTACCGTCAATTTTCCATAATGGGTGGTCTTCTACGCCATTATCCACATCAGATTTGAGAACGACGAAACATCCAGACTATACAAAGAACAAAAAGAACTTTATTCAAGAGTATAAAGGCTGAAATACTGTTAATACAAGACGTTTTTTTTTTTTTTTACAATAATAATTTCAGTAGACTTCCATATGAAATATTGACTTTTTCAAGATTTTAAATAGGAAATGTCTAACATCAATAATAATAAGTAATCAATATAACATTGTATTTATTTTTATAATAGCGCTAATTTTATGCAAAGAAGGTTGAATAATGAGATTTCCTCCTGAGGCCTGCAGGAAAATGGTATAATGTGATCCTTACTGATCTTGGTCTGCCTATAGTAGCAGGGTTGGTCTGTCATTCCTTGATCCAACATCTCACCATCTTCACTGTGTTTGTGTGATATTATTACGCCAATCTCTTTTATATGGTATTAAACTTCAGGCTTTGAAGCATATTCTTCTTCATACCAATTCATACCATCAAATGAACTTTGAACACATTATTATTATTTTTTTTTTCCAATAAGAAAAATACTATGGTAACATACATTAAAGTTTATTCCACTATGTACATACATACATCAACTGGTATGCACCTATGAAGGACATCGATACAAATGAGAAAAAATTATTAGGGGCCTAAAAAATTTAAAATGTATAAAAAAGATAAATTAAAATTAAGAATAAAAAAAAATGGGGGGGGGGAGCCACAGATGAGTGAAAGTTTGGATCATGGAAGTCTACTGTATTATGTTTTTGAAGCTTTTGGAACGACATTTGCCCCTATACATGGGAGATTTTGGAAGAAATCTGAGTAGTGTTGGTCCAAAAGCTTTCAAAACAAAATAAAAATATTTATGTTTAATACATATAATATTCAACTCACCCTATATTCTAGAGGAGTATCTGCTGCATCACCTTCGCTTTCTTCGCCGTCAATATCATCACTTTCTTCATTTTCCTGCATAATAGGTTATTAATATTTTTTATCAAAACACTTTTACGATATGACGTATATACCTCGTCAAGCTTAGATTTCTTTGCCGGCGGCTTTCCCCTGGTCCTGCCACGGCCGGCAGGCTTCGCGGTCTTCTTCTTGTCCACCTTTTTCTTCGGTGTCTCTAACTTTTCCTCTTCGCTGTCGTCGTCCAGATCATCGTCTTCCTCATCATCGTGCAAATCGTCGTCCGAACTCCCATCGTCCTTGTATGCCTTCTTCAAAACCCTCTGCCTTCCTGATTTTCGCCTTCCTCCCGAATTCTTTTAAACAAAACAAATACTGTTTACTAACTTGAAAAATAAAATTAGAAGTAATTTAAAGGAAATTGTTATAAAATTGAAAGATGGTTATTTTTAATATAAGAGTAAAATTACAAAAATAACTAACTAAATCCTGCAAAATGAGTTTTTATTTTAATATTGATCTGAATTTAAACTTAATTCTGCCATATAATATATAAATAAAATACTAAAAGTTTTATGTTTCATTCTTTATTTCGAAATTAAAAATAATGCCGCCATTTTTTCAGTTTTTTTTGTTGTTTTTTGACAACACTGAAAACATAAAAATTCTTTTTGAACTTCATTAATTAAACTTTAATTCGCAACTTTATCTAATGTTTTGTTCTAAATGTGGTAATAAATAAATTATTTACATCAGTCGGAGAAGAGTCGCCGTCGTCGTTTTGTGGTTCGTCCACCTCGCTCGGGTCGTCGACGTCAAACTCGTCCTCATCACACCTCACCGGCTTTTTCCTCGTCAACCTAGCCATACCTAAAATGGGTGAAATATTAATTTAAACAAAAAAAACTACCCTTTTTCCCCAGTTCTATTGATAAATGCGTTGTACGACTCGGGTTCGGCTAACGTCGATAAATTAGACGCCGCACCGGGTTTGATTGTTTATTGTACAACAAAGTCGATATTATACACCTACCTCAAAACGGTCCTTTCAAACCAATCTGTCAATTTAAAAAGCACAAATTCAGTTCCCGCACCTGAAAAAACGCTTCCCGATAAAACAACAACAGCCTCGAGGAATTATTTTTAAAAACTAGTGATTCCACCGACTCCAGTAACCTGCGACTGAAATACAAACTATGTTTTTCCAGGTTAGCCAACATAAATATTCAATAACGATCCTCCGCGAATTTCCCGAAGTTAGAAAAAAATCATATTTTCCCCCCTTCTTTCCTTTGTTTATGACAGGATAAAAAAAGAAGTCGTTTTAATATAAAACAGAAGTAATCTAAAGATATTTGAAAAATTAAAACTTAAATGGCCAAACAGTTAAGTTATGCCGAGTGACAAAAGTCTACATTGATGAGAAATCCCATGCGGCCCCTCCGGCGACTTATTGACACTGAATTTTATTAATTGCATCAAATTTTATGATTAAAAAATATAAATAAATACATTATTTTATCTAATAATAATAATAATAATAATAATAATAACAATATGGAAAGTATATAGAGATGGTATAAAAGAAAGTAAGCCAGTGTACATAAATGGCCAACTGAGGGACTTGTGAGAAAAGAACTTGCAATTCTCTCTAGATTGCGAATAGGTCACATCAGACTAACAATAATCTTTTAATTGGCAACTACCTTGATTGTATTCCAATTTGTCCTCGATGTATTCAAAGTAGAGAACATATTATTCTGACTGTAAAACATATTTTGGTCGACTGTCGCACTTTGCAACCCTTTAGGGAAAGGTTCAAACTTTCGAGTGATTTAAAGGAGTTACTAGGTCCCCAGTGTTTGTTTCGCAGAGCAGTTTTCAGCTTTCTTAAATTTATCGGATTTTATAATGAGTTTTAGCCCTTTTCACAAATTCTTATAGCCTTGAATGTTTGTTTGATAGTGTATGAATGAGAGTTCTGCGTGAAAGATTTATTTTTTCAGGAAATTTTGAGGCTGCAGGAGTGGAAAAATAAAATAAAAATACAAATTGCGGGGCCTATAATGCCCAAAATCGCAATTTAAATAAGTAAAAATAGCTCCCTTCCCCCTCCCAAAAAAAGAAGTGTTATGTTTTTTGTTTTATTATTATTGTTAAGTAGCTTGATGTTCCTGTTTCTCTCATGCTGAGACTTTTTACTAGTCTGACGCCATTATAATTATTGACCATACTAGCCTATGGTAAATGTTTAAAATATGGAACAAAAATTAGAAATTCATATTAAAAAACAGTAATAAATTACACAATTTAAAATATTTTTTTCATACATTTTGCCTTCCAAATTAAGAATTTTAAAAGGATATATAGATAAATCTATATATATTTANATATTAGATTTTGTTTGAATGTTTGGAGTCAGAGCTTTATAGCACTCGGAAGGAATATAGCTAACTTAAGCTAGAAGTTTTAAATGTATCAGGGCGTGAAATGACCTTAGCCGTTAAAACGCCCTTAAAAATTAATAATAATATGTAATAATAATAATAATCAATACGAAGAGGAGTGGTCTAGCCAACCCCAGCCTTTTTGAAGAATGGGGCTCATTGTGAGATTGAACCGCTGGCCGTGGACGACACGTAAAGTACTTGTTTCTGGATTACAGCAGGTCAAAATAAAGAAGACACTACGCAAAAAATTTGACAGCCGGTTGATAGCGGAATGTAGGACAGGAGTCCGGGAATTTGACGTGCCATTAAATGCTTCTGTATACCAGGGCGCTTTATTCATTTTGGAGTAGCGAAATGGTCTCCGACTTAAATGATTTGCAGCGTGACTTGACAATGACTCTCAGCATACTGGAGAGAATGGCTCTTTCGCAGGGGAGAGGGGAATAATGCCTGATATAATAGATTTGCACGATGCTCAAATTATGTATGAAGCACCCTGCACACCAATCGCCTATCATTAAGCAGTAGTCATCGCAGATTTATGGCACACATTAAACCTCTCAGTGGAGATCGTGCTGATCAGTACCAAGACTCCTGGCAACAAGTATATCTGGCGCAGACACGTGGATTACAGTTCATGGATTGTTGATGGTGATGAAGTTGTGGTATTGGTTAATAGTTCTATCACTCCTCTGAGTCCCTTTCTAACTGTAGCAATAAGTTTGGCTGTCTTGGTGAAGGTTGCTTTAACGTAACTCTGCATAGCATCCCTAGAATTGATCCACTTTTGTCGATTTTTGGAACCATTTCAGTGTAAAATGCGAAAAAGTTTTGTATTGTAGCTCACTCTCAATACGCAATAAGGTTTTAAAATGTTGTATAATAAATCTGTTAAATAAATGTCATCAACATGTGTTAATTGTAAACTTTATTTCTAACTAAATTTTCTTTTAAGCTAATTTTCGTACCATGTTGATTAAAGAATATCGAATCACCCTTCCTCTAAGTCTCCAAGAGTACGAAATAGCCCAGTTGTACACAACCTGTCAAATGAGCAAAGGCGAAACCGGTGGCGGCGAAGGGGTTGAGATCCTCCAAAGGGAGCCTTTTACCGACAGGCCGTTGCTCGGGGATAAATACGATAGCGGGATATTCACCTGGAAGAAGTACTATCTGTCTCAAAAGCTGCCCAACTTTGTGAGGTACATGATGCCATCCGGGAAAGTGGAGATACACGAGAAGTCGTGGAACGCGTTCCCGTTCTGCAAGACGATCCTGACAAATCCGCACATGGACGAGTCGTTTTTCGTGACTATCGACACGATCCACTTGGAAGACAGAGGCGAGGAGGAGAACGCTCTTCAGCTCGACGAGAGACGGCTGGAATTGCGAGACGTCGTCTTTGTCGATATCGCCAACGATCCCGTACAATACAGAGACTTCAGGGCCGACCAGGACACGACCAACTTCACGTCGGTGCAGACCGGAAGAGGGCCGCTGTCCTACGACTGGAAGGCCAAGGCAAATCCGGTGATGACCTGTTACAAATTGGTCACCTGCTGCTTCGACTGGTACGGCCTCGAGGGCAGAGTGGAACGTCTCGTGCACGCCATCGAAAAAAGGCTTTTTCTTATTTTCCACCGCAAGCTCTTCTGCTGGATGGACGAATGGTACGGCCTAAATATGGCGTCCATAAAAGAAATGGAAGATCGGACCCAGAGAGAATTAAAATTTAGGATACAAGGGAAAACAATTCAAGGGATGAGGATAGAATAAAATTTTGCTCACTTACAAAACCATATGTTTCATTGTAAGTAATAGCACTTGATTATGTTTTGAAATATTAAAGTCGTCAAAGATGATTAATTTTATTCTTTTTTGGTTGTTGCTTGTTATGTGGTTTATGCCTCTTCATTGCATAACCTATAAACTTGGTCTACCCATGTGTATAGCTGTTTTTATATATAGCTGTTCTTACGCGCCTTTGGCCGGTATGTAGTTCAATCACTCCCCTAAGACTTTATGTCTATAGCAATGTGTTTGCAAGTTTTGAGGTTTATTTAATCGTGAGTTACTGCGTTTGGCACTTCTCGTCCAATTATAGATCCGGGCCCGAAAGATAGTCTTTCAGATCCTCCTCTGGCCTGTTTATCTTCTTTTTCATTACCCAGAACACCTTTGTGTCCTGTCGTCCTAAGATATCGTCCTATATATTGTCAGGTCGAGTGTAGGACCTTGGTTAACAATCATTACAAGTAATAATATACTAATTGAAGAAGGATGAAAATATCAAATGTTGAGAATAAGCACAACGCCTTGGCTTTTCGTTTTCTTCCTGGCAATATCTGCACAGCTTGTTTCTACTACTTCAAGTCTATATGCCTCTGGAGTCTTAATCATTCTGATCGGGTCCTAGTCTTTTCCTCATGATTCTGTTCTGGAATGCCATTGAGCTAAGTACATATTATTAATATATTGTCTGATGGATTAATGTTTTTAATTTGGTATGACTGAAGGGTTCAGAGGCGCTAGTTGTCCTCATTGAACGCCCTTGGTCAGTTTATCAGCCTCCTAGGTGTTACTTAAACAAGGGTGTTTTTATTGTTGGTGTCCAGCTGTTTAATTCTCTGTAACATCTCCAACAGAAAGACAGTGGCATATTGCCAAAGTCCTATGTGAATTCTAGTCAGCAGAGGGAAACTGAATTAGGCTTAGGTTTTTTACATAAAAAAATTGAAACTGAATAATGTAATGTTAGAGGTTGGAAGGTTGGTTAGAGATGGTTGATTATGTTTGGGACTTCTTGTTTACGATGGATGCGGTTGAAAATAGATGTTCGTAGGTGTTTGTGTTGTTTATGGATGTTTATAGTTGGGTAAGGAGGTAGAGAGAGTGTTGTTGGATGAGTAATGTATTATTAGAAATGATAAATTTGGTTAGAGATAGTTAGAGGATTTTTGAGAATACTTGGTTACATTAAGATGGTTCAAAATGGAGTTAATGTAATGAAATGTGTCTGGCAAAGCTATAATAATTAGAAAAAATAAGTCGTTTCTATATTATATATGCTGGACCGGCACTGGGTTCAGTCTTCACTCGTGGGTCAACTTGAGTTTGATCTGGGGTTTCAAACGAGCCCAATAAGTGACCTAGGGTCGGTTAACCATGAGCTCACAGACTTACAGACCAACATCAAACATCAAATCTGACGTTTAATAATTGTAGGAATGCTGATGGACGGAAAGTGTTTGCTTTATCATACATCATTAATTAATTATAAGAGTAGGGATAGGCTTAATCTTGTAATAAAAAGCATTGGAAATTATTGTTTATTATTTTTCAAACATATGTTAAGATGTGTGAGGTAGAAAAAAAGTATAAGTTGATGTTTGAAGGCAACGAACATTTTATTACACGATTACACCAAGAAGGACATTTGAATAAGAACATTGGCCTGTAAAAGTTTTGATTTTCTTATCGAATTTTAAATTTGAAAAGACAGATAAAGATTTGCCGTGAAACTTACTTCGTCCGTCTTTTAAACCCGAGTTAAATACCATAAATCGCTATTTTTTTTATTTATTTTTATTAAAGGAAAAACAAACATGTGAAACATTGTGGCATGTGGTAATAAGCCATATGATTTGAATGGTAAAAATTCGCAATTCCGCGTTGTAAATATTATTATGAAACGCATGCTCTTGTGGTATGGTGTTAATTAAGGAATACCGTGTAGTACTTCCGCT